GGACTGGCCCCACCTAACAGCAAGCCCTCAGGCTACTTTTCAGCCTGGGTTGAATGGGTGCCTTGATCCTCCACAGGCAGGCAAGGGTGTCTGCCCCTGTGGGGCAGGGCCTGTGTGAGGACCAGGTGAACTGTGGGGGGGCATTGGTGGAGAGGTGGGCGCCTCTGCAGTGCGGTGTCAGGGTACGCTCCAGGAGGTTGAGAAGCTTGCACCGACCAGGACTGTGTTGACATGTGTGTGGTCCTGTAGGGGGTGAGGGTTATCCGGCAGAAGACCTGTGCTTCACAAATAGCCATGAAAAGGATCAGCCCCACCTTCCAAAGCCTGAAACAATTGAGTGCTCTGTGCCTAGGGCCAGCCCCACTCAGCTGTACTCCTAAGAGAACTGACAACAGCCATGTAGGCCTGAGGCCTATAGCAACTGTAAGCCCCTGAACCTAGCAACCAGCTACACTGGGTACCAACCCAATCAAGAGGAAAACTGAAATAGGAGTGTGCTAATAGACTTTGTAGCCAACAGGTGCTGAGGCTTCCCAAACCAGATTTACAAACAGCTGGCCAGGGAAGGAAAGACTAGACTCCCTGGGTATCTGCAGTGGGAGCAACCCTGACACAGAAGAAGAACACAAGTAGCCCACAAAGGGGTCACTTCTGGATCTTCTGGACTGGTGACGAGAGGGAAGCACACTGCTGGGCCTCATAAGGCATCTCGTACATAAGGCCACTTCTCCTAGATCAGGACACATAGCCAACTTACTTAATACGTAGAAATAAGCACAGAGAAAGAGGCATAATGAGGAGACAAAGGAATACTTTCCAAGCAAGGGAACATGACAAAACCCCAGAAAAAGGACTAAATGAAACAGAAACAAGCAACCTACTCGACAAAGAGTTCAAACAAAATATCATGAGGATGCTCACAGATATTGGGAGAAGACTGGATGAACACAGTGAGTACATCAGCAAAGAACTGGAAGATATAAAAAAAACACAATCAGACATGAAGACTACAATACTGGAAATGAGAAATTCACTAAAGGGACTCAATAGCAGAGTAGAGGATGTAGAAGAACGGATCAGTGAGCTAGACGAAAGACTAGAGGAAATCACCCAAGCAGAACAGAAAAAAGAAAAAAGAATCACACAGAATGAGAACAGTCTAAGGGAGCTCTGGGACAATATCAAGCGTGCTGGCATTCGGATTATAGGTGTCCCAGAAGGAGAAGAGAGAGACAAAGGGGCAGAAAATTTATTTGAAGAAATAATAGATGAAAATTTTCCTAATCTGAGGAAGGAAACAGACATCCAAGCTCAGGAAACACAGAGGGCTCCAAACAAGATAAGCCCAAAGAGGCCCACACCAAGACATATTATAATTAAAATGTCCAAAATTAAGGATAAAGAGAGAATCCTAAAAGCAGCAAGAGAAAGGCCACAAGTGACATATAAAGGGAAGCCCATCAGGCTACTAGCAGACTTCTCAGCCGAGACCCTACAGGAGAGAAGAGAATGGTACAACGTATTTAAAGTGCTAAAAGGAAAAAACCTACAGCCAAGAATACTCTGTCCATCAAGGCTGTCATTCAGATTGGAAGGAGAGATAAAGAGCTTCCCAGACAAGCAAAAATTAAAGGAGTTTATCACCAAGAAACCAGTTCTACAAGAAATGATGACGGGACTTACTTAAGTGGGAAAGCAATAACCACAAATAGAGATTAAAAAAAATAATCAAAAAACAAAACAAACAAAACAACAACAAAACAACCAGGCAATAAAATCACTTGTAAAGATAAAAATATAGCAAATCTAGCAGATTAACTACTGTGAAGATGATATGAAGGTTAAAAGACAAATGTACTAAAATCACCTATTTCAATGATAAGAGGGTAATGGATGGACACACACAAAACAAGCGACTGTATATGATTTGAAAAACATAAAATATGGGAGGAGGGGAGTGAAAAAGTAGAGCTTTTAGGAAGAGGTCAAGCTAAAGAGTATCAACTCGGTGTAGACTGTTATATACATAGGATATTAAATAGATCCTCATGGTAATCACAAATCAGAAACATGTAATAAGCAAGCAAAAAAGTAAGACAAAAGAAATCAAACATATTACTAAAGATAGCCATCAAACCACAAGGGAAGAGAGCAAGAGAAAAAGACAGGAACAGAGAAGAACTACTAAAACATATATTCGGAATATATTATGATGTAAAAGTGTAAATGATTTATATCCTCTGAAGAGAAAGTTGAATGTGGCTTCCAATACGGAAACTTTGTTGTGGACTCGTGCCACATTATTGCTACTTTCATACTTTTCACTCAGTAGTTACATCAGTTTATCATTCTCTGCTTTTATCCCACTACTTTGAATAATTCAGCATTCCTTTTCTCTCTTTATCTGGTGAGGTAGATCACAGAAGACACCAAAAATGGTGAACTAGAGAATGATTTATAGCAGAAATGAAAACTGAATTCTTGCTTACTTTTTTGAGATTAGTGTTAAAAACTGATCAGAACACTAGCAGTAGTTTTAAGACGGATATTTGTCTCACCACAATAGAATCTTAAAAATTCATTGTAAGTCCATTTACAGGAACATTTGTTATTTATATGTCAAGCCTGTGTATTAATAACTTTTTTAACCTAAGTAATTTTATTTTCTCATAGATAATGTGCAGGTGCTTTCATTCATATACAGTAATTAGCCAGTCTTCTTTGTCAAATACTTGCATGCACTTCAGTTATATACCCCAAATGAGCTGAACCAAAAAGCTTAAGAGACTAGGGAACTGAGAGGGATCCCTGAAATATCTTTATTTGAAAAATTATCTGTCTAAAGTTGTGATGAATAAAAACGTCTAATGGAGGTGATATTATGGCCCAGTACTGATGTGTGGTGCTATAATTGCTATAATTAAAATTAAATTTTAGATTCCTTAGGGAGTCTCAAACCATGATGATGCTCTCTTAAATCCAATAATAAGCAAACAGAACCATTAAGAAATATAATAGCCCTAAGTAGTTAATCTTACTGGTGGCACATTTAGAACAGTTATAAATCCTAAGTATACAGCGAAACATTTTAGACTCATTACGTGGAAGTCATTTCTTTACCATGTGTCAAGATTAAAGGCTGAATGAATCTAAATCAAGAGTTGACTCTCATGCTATTGTTTTCAACGTCTTTTATATGGTTAAGACCTAATTGCTAGTGACCATCTAAGTAAATTATGATGGGCTACTAAAAATTGGTACAGGATGTTGTTTTATAACATAAAATCTTGTTTATAATAATCTCTTATATACTGTAAATAGTATATGACCAGTATGTTTCTGTCCAAGTCTTTGTCACAGATTTGTTTTTCCTTTGGGTAGTGGAAATGGTTAGGCCTTTCCTAAGTGGGTCATAGTCAGACAAACTTGAGTGTCACTCATAATTTAGGAAGAAAAGATAAGCCTTACTCCGATTTCTGGGGTTTGTGTCCACTTTTCTTTCTATCCTTATCCTTTTGTCACTTGTCCCTCAGAGTTTTGTTTATCTGTTCAGAATTACTCTCCAAAAAAATGTTTTGTTGATCTCAGGTTTCTAAGCATTGGTTAGAATCGTACAGCAAGTGAAAAAGGTTAAAGTGCAGATAGAGAATAGGAAGGCACAAGGACAGCATGCTCCTAGTCTTTTTTGGGTCAGCAGTTCTTTTTGAAAATTTAACAAAAGCCAGGAACCCTCATCAGGAAAAGTACAAAACCCACACACAAATTTGAGGAGTTTCGTAGAACCACAAGGTCTAGAAAAATAAATGATGACTGTTGGCTAGGCCCCTTACATTCTGCAACTCAGATGAGTTGATAAACTCCTGTAGGCCTCTGTTTACTCATCTGTGTAATAGATACCACAATTCCTATCCTTTCTTCACAGGTACATTAGGAGAGAACATGAATATTCTTGTGAAAATACTTGGAAATTAATGTATTATAAAACAAATCCTATTACAACGAAATAGAAAAAACTATGTACTTTTTTTGTTGAATTGAAATTTTGCTTAAAGTAGATGTTTCTCTACCTGGTTTTAGGAATCTTTTTATTATATACAGATGATTTTGTAGACATGGTATTTTACTGTGACAAGATTTTTTATGCGCACATGTGTGTAAATAAATGGTAGCACTATATTTTCTGCTACTTTGGTTTGCTACATTAATGGTTATACCTCTGAAGTTATTGAAGCATGTCTTCTGAGTATAGAGGATTAGGATTCTTGAATAGAAAATATTTAAGGGAAATTTCTCATATTTTCAATGAGTGAATGCTTGTGGTTGCTATGGGAATGATGCAAAGTACTATTAAAGATAATTGGATGGTTTTAGGAAAGCTCTCAAAAGCGGTTTGTATAAAGTGGTGGTAATCTCGTTAAATCACATTAAGATAAATTTAAAACATCAAAGTGAGTATTATACCACAGATTGTACATATTGGGGTCTTTGTGAACAGTATAGAGTAGAAAAAAGAGGAAAAGGATCTCTAACATCTTTTCTCAATGGATTTTGTGGTCTGCTGTTGTTTTAACTTGACCAAAAGCCCTGCTATTTGGGAAATACCTAGCCCTTAGAAGTAAATGAAGAGAGATTTCTGCAATGTTATTTCAACATTGACATGAACTATGATCAGAGCATTGGGCTGATGTAATTTCTTTAAATTTTTCTGACATTTTAAACTTGAAGAAGTTAAATTCCTATTTCTAGTGCAAACTAAAGTATACTTAAATTTCTGAGGATGTCTATTTGCTTTTGTGGCATGCAAGTATTATATTCTAACCAAAGATTTTTGAGAGCATTTTCTGTAACTTCCACAGTGTAGTTGGTTCCCACTTGATTTCTTAATAGAACATCAATATGTTAACTATATGTTGAGTTGGGTTTTTTTTTTAACCAAATGATGTTTATTTGAAACTCATTGCAGTGAGAGTTTTTAAATGTTACTATCATTGCTATTTTAGGATGCACATTCACAAGGTGAGGTGGTATCATGCTTGGAGAAAGGCCTGGTGAAGGAAGCAGAAGAAAGAGATCCCAAGATTCAAGTCTCTGAACTCTGCAAGAAAGCCATTCTCCGGGTGGCTGAGCTGTCCTCAGATGACTTTCATTTAGACCGGCATTTATATTTTGCTTGCCGAGATGATCGGGAGCGTTTTTGTGAAAATGTGAGTCAGCTTAGAAACTGTTCCTCTTTTCTCCTTACATTTTTATTTTTTTAATTTTTTTTCCTTTTTCTCCCCAAAGCCCCCCAGTACATAGTTGTATATAATTTTAGTTTGGGTCCTTCTAGTTGTGTCATGTGGGACGCCGCCTCAGCAGGGCTTGTTGAGCGGCGGCTGCCATGTCTGCACCCAGGATCCGAACCAGTGAAACCCTGGGCCGCTGAAGCGAAGAGCACAAACTTAACCACTCGGCCAAAATACAATAAACCAAGACAAACCCTCACATGTAGAAAAGCCACTGAAATGGAAGATGGAGTTGGTCCCAGAATAGCAGAAAGTGTTATTGGATGCTCAGCCTTGGTGGCTTCACATCCAGTTAACAGTTGGCTTCTGACAACCTCCACACACTATTTTTTCTACTTTATCTCATTCTCAATTTTAGTTCTTGGAAGTTTGTTTTACCTATAGGAATCGTATTTTACCAGGGAATCCCATTCACATCTCTTCTATGGCTAAAACTTTGCCATATTACGTATTTTTATATTTTTGGCTAAGATGAAGAAAACAGGTGGCTAACTTTTAAAATCAAATCTTTGATTACTACCTGCAGACTCTATAGAACAACTTTCCAGCACTTTAAACAGAGTAATCTCCATCTATATAACAAAGGACTGAGAGTGACTTGTGTAAACTCCCACTCTGCCTGCTGTTTTGAATTAACAGCTTTAACCATCAGAGCCACTGATTATGAGTTTTACTGACTCTAGCATAAAGTTGTGAGAAGGAAGACTCACTGACATTTCTCTTGCTTCTCTAATTAACGGTATATCTGGGAACAAGTGACAGTAGACAAACATCATGGGAAAATTTTTCTCATCTTTACTGCAATCACTATTTTCTTTCAAAGGCTACTGCATTTCTGTTCATTCAAAAGTACGCATCATTATAATAATTTAACACAAAGTTCTCTATAAGATTGTGGATAATGCCCAGCATAACTACTTAGCTAATAATGCTGATAATGATGAGGATGTTCCATCTTACAGACGCAAGCTGGTGAAGGCAGAGTGTATAAGTGCCTCTTTAACCATAAATTTGAAGAATCCATGAGTGAAAAGGTAAGCATTACTTTGAAACCAATGTTTTATTCATTTCGTAAAAGCTTTCTCAAATCCCCTCAAAAATAGTCTTGTAAACTCATACTAAAATATAAAGGACTGATAAAGCTTATCCTTCTCAGAGGTGAGATACTAGGCTTTTAGTAGGGAACCAAAGCGTGTTTCACTTAAACCAAGAAAATGATGCTTTTTGTGATATCTAGACAGTGGGAAGCTAACTGGAAATCAATTTAGGGGGTAGAATTGGAGAATTTTATATCAAAATCACACTGAAGCCATCCCTGTATATTCAGGAAGTTTATACTAACTAAACCAATGTGCTTCATAGATAATTAGTGATTTCGTCTTTCAGCAGCTGTCTCATTAAGCATTCTCATTACCGTTAGTCCTCTGTTCCTGGATGAATGCAGGAGTCTTTTATGACTTTAAAAGTGATTATTTTTGTTTTGCTATCCTGTCATTTACTTTCCTGTGCTGAGGAAATGTTTTTCATTTCGATTCTTTATATTATTTACTATTGATTAATTATGTTTAAAAAGTATAGAATGGAATTTGCAGAGTGTTGTGGCAGTTACCACTTTGATTCTGGTGAAATTTATTTTTAGGATATTACTGAAGAGGAAAAGAATATTTTGTCAAGTTAATGTATTAAAATCTACCAAATATTTATGTGTTTAGGACAGCTGCTATTGCTACAACAGTCAGCAATTCACTGTAGAATTCCAGGGTGCCCCACCCATTTACCCCTTCCTCTTGCCACCTACTCTAGCCTACTTGTGCTCAATTTTAATCAAACTTAAAGGTAGCCATTTTGTAATAACCACGGTGGTTGACTATACTTGGCCACAAGCTCTGCTTGTCTTGGAGGTACATATGAACAGCTGAGCCACTTGGGTGGTCTTACAACTCTCTTGCTGCACCCTTCCCTCAGTGTCGAGAAGCACTAACAACGCGCCAAAAGCTGATTGCCCAGGATTATAAAGTCAGTTATTCATTGGCCAAATCCTGTAAGAGTGACTTGAAGAAATACCGGTGTAATGTGGAAAACCTTCCTCGATCCCGGGAAGCTAGGCTCTCCTACCTTCTGATGTGTCTGGAGTCAGCTGTACATAGAGGTGAGAGTCAGTTTCTTTTTATCCATTTCATTCCTTTTTGGATAGTTTCCTCCTATATTTACTCTTTTGACTGCACCTGTGCATTGTGACGCAGGAGCATAACTCTAGGCTGAAGGGTTGGGGTCCCGAAGCATGATTGAAGGCCCTTTCTCTTAGCTCAATAATCCCAATTTTGTTTTTCTTTTACATCCCGTCTTGCCTTTTAAGAAGTAAGTTATATTTCTCAAACCCAAATATCTTAATTTTTAAACTGCCTCTCACACAGCGTTTCTAGCAGAGTCAGGGCCGTGTAATGATTTACCACATCAGCTTTGGGCCAGAGGGACACAGCTGCGAATTATGGCTCTGTCACCAAATTAACTAGCTGGGTGACCATCGCTTATCTTTCTTAATCTCTCCAAACCTCATTTTCCTTATGTATAGAACAAGAATAACATTACTTATGTTAAGGAGTTCTTGTGAGGACTGAATGAAGTAATTTGGCATAGCACTTAATATACAATAAGTGATAGATACTGTTATTATTATGACAGTGATGATATCAAGAAATTAAACAGCAAAGGAGTAAAAGATTACCCCACAAGGTCAGACTCATGGTCTATTTAGTCTAAAAGTCAATCTCTGACAAAGGAACCAACAAGGATGTATAGAAGGTCAGGATTGTCTTTCTTAATATTGGCTATAATCTGTAAAAGTGAAATTCGTAGCTGATGTTGAATAAATGGTGCTGGGACAATTGGTTAGTGATTAAAAAGTGGGAAAAAAATCGATCATTAAATAAAACTCAGAGCTTTTTGATGAAATTTTTTTTTCATATCTGGATAGTCAAAGACACCTAAGCTTAAAAGCAATAGATTGAGTGCCAAACAAAGGACATTTTGGAGGCAATTGGAGAATTTTGATTATGGTCTAGGTGTTAGATGAAATTTTCCTGAAATGAAAAGGTGGGGATTATTGACTAGTAAAAGCATATTATAAAATGATATGCATAATGTAATCTAATTTTGGTATTTAAAAATAGAAAGTGAATGTCCTTAAACTGCAAATTAACAAGAAACACCAAAAGGCTCAGTAAATAAATGGCCAAAGGATATGAATAGATAATTCAGAAAAGTTATATAGAATGCTAATGTTAAAAAGACTGACCATATTAAGTGTTGGTAGGCTGTGGAAGAACTGGAACTGTCATACACTGCTGATGCTATTTTAAAATGGTACAACTACTTTGGAAAATAGTTTGCTGGTTTCTTACAAAGTTAAACATACATCTACCATATGACCCAGCCATGTAACTCCTAGGTATTTACCCAAGAGATCGAAAGCATATGTCCATATAAACTCTTATACAGGAATATTCATAACAGCTTTATTTGTAATAGCCCCAAATTGAAAATAACCAAAATGTCCATCAACAATTAAAGGGATAAACAAAGTATAATATATCCACATAATGGAATAATATTACTTGGCAATAAAAAAAAATAAACTGTTGATACATGAATGAATCTTAAAAGTAATTATGCTGAGGAAAAGGAGTTAAACAAAAAAGAGTCCCTACCGTTTGATTCCGTGTATATAAACTTCTAAAAAATGCAAACTCGTAAACGGATCTGTAGCCACAGAAAGCAGATCAGTGGTTGACTGGGGGTGGGGTGGGTGGGGAAGAGAAGGAGTCTCAAGGAGCATGAGGAAACATTTGGAGTTGATGGATGTGGTGGTCATTATCTTGATTGTGGTGATGGTTTCATCGATGTATATATGTCAAACTTGTCCAATTGTATATTTTAAAAGTACAGTTTATTATATGTCAGTTAAACCTCAGTACAGCTGTTTTTTAAAAAATTTCTTAAGTTTCTCACTTGACATTTACAGCTCAAGGGAGGCAGGGAGCTGTAGTGAATATTTCAAATGGAGTCTTTTCCACAAGCTTTAACTGTGTAGGCCAGCCAGTAGGGATTATTCTTGGCTTTCATCTTTACCCCAATAGTTATCTTATTAATAAGCCTTCCATTGACAAAACATTTGCATTATTAGTTCAGTAGTATAAAATCTGTATAATGCAGAACACCGACAAGATGAACGCTAGTCCCTGGAGTCTTAAATTCATTTTATGCTTATAAAGCTTTTGCTAAAGTTCAAGCCTTTCAGTCTAGATAATAGCATGACTGGTATAGTATATTCTAGGGAAAAACGTGTTCTTTTAATATGTGGTGATATCTGATTCTAATGCTCGCCTCCATAATGTTTTGGCTTAAATCCTAACTTAGGGCGACAAGTGAGCAGTGAGTGCCAGGGGGAGATGTTGGATTACCGACGCATGTTGATGGAAGACTTTTCCTTGAGCCCTGAGATCATCCTGAGCTGTCGGGGGGAGATTGAACACCACTGTTCTGGATTGCATCGAAAAGGGCGAACCCTGCATTGTTTGATGAAAGTAGTTCGGGGCGAGAAAGGGAATGTTGGCATGAACTGCCAACAAGCGGTAAGGAAAAAATTTCTACTGCCGTTTTGAATGTCACACTTTATCAGCTGAGGAACCTCTTCCTGACACGATCCCAACTTACTTTATCGGGATCGTTATGACATCACAGTGAACATTAGCTACTAGGAACCAGACATGGAATGTTGTTTCTTCAGGCGTATCTTAGTAAGAATGTGGAATTCTCTGCAGAGCAGAAGTTTGAGCTCATAATCAATAAAACGAGCTATATACTTAAAGAAATAGATAAAATGCATTGTTTGCTAGAGTTTTTAAAGAAAAGGTAACTTGCTAGATTGAATTTACTAAATCCAGAATCAGGGCAAACCAGGTTCTGGTAAATCAGAGAAGTTCTTCCACCAAAAGAGAATTTGCCTGTCTAAATAGGTTTGATTGAGTTGAGGCTGAAGGAGAGCTGAAATGAATTGAAGTTTTATGTTTCTTTTTGTTACTGATGTGCAGCATGGTGTGAATTCCTGACCTGAGGATCAAGAAAGCGTGTCATTTTCAAAATCACACCATTTTTTCTTGTTAGAGTAGGGCAACTATGCGTGGAAGGGTCTTTCTTTCTCTACCTCCAGACTCTACAGTCAGCAGTTCTATAAAGATAGTTGGAGAAAATTAGCATAGTTTGCTTGATAAAATAAAGTTATTCTTGATCCCAGGGTTCATAAACAATTGAATAACTACAGATCAGGTACATAATATAAATTTAACAAAATATTATAGATACAGTGCATCTATTTCATTGCCATTGTCCATGTTTATTACTTTTTCCTGAATAAGAATCTTTGAACAATTTACAATACCAAATGCAACAGCAGTACCCTGTACAATGTACCCCATACTTTCCTATACTTTTCCTTAGGAAGCACAAAAGATATAGTTTACCTTTCTATCCTAAATTAGAAAGTTGTGCCTCTCTCTCAGTGAAACTTTAGAAAACCACTATTCATTAGTCTTTTGTTTTTAGCATTTTTATTAAAATTGACTATTACTTGAATTTTATTTTCTTGCTAATTATGTAAAATCAGAATTTTACAGTCTGAAACATAAAGTTTCCATAAAATTTTGATGTGGAGTAAAATTTCATTTTAGCTTCTAATACCCTGACCCAGAGTAGACAGTAACTTTTACATGCCGTGGTAGGAAAAATAGACAAATGTAGCCTGTTCTCCAAAATACCAAGTGTAGCAGAAGGAGTCTTCCTCAGGAGCAGTCCTTGCTGGTTACTGTGCTAGGAAGCCTCTGTGATAATGTATGTGCCTGGGCCCCAGCCCAAGAATGAATCAAGACATTCTATATTTGCATTTCATCCTTAATGTGGCGTGGAAAGGGGACTGAGGCTACACTTGTACTAACGTTATAGAAAAAAGAAAATACATTGGTTTGACTTTATTTTGAGGCATCTAGTTTACCTCCAAGGCTTTTTGAAATTTAGCTTATTAAAAGAGCTGGTGACTCAACCTGAAAGGTAAATAAGTACCACCCACCTCTTCCTTTGTGTGCAGAAGAAAAGTGCTTTCCCAAACCTAGAGGTTAGCCTCAAATAGTGAAATATGTAGTTTTGACCACATTAAGTTTTAGCCAAGTGGGAAACAAACACTTTATTTTGTTTTTTATAGACCCATGGTTTTTTAGCCTTTGCTCAAAACAGTTGAAGGAATAAGAAGAAAATCTTCCTTAGTCTTCTACTACATTAGCCGTCATCAAGTGGAGGAATGTTTAGAAATAATTTATTTTGAGTGGATTTCTTTCTTTTTCAATTTTCTTCCTTGATCCAGTAGACTTTCATACCTGTCTGTGGTTGACCATTAATTTTTCCTGTTCTCTGCTTGGTGATACTTTGATTTAGTGATCTCTCAACAAATAGTAAACTGTGACGCATAATGATAATTATTATCTTAATCATCTTATCTTCCAAATGCACCGTAATCGTGAACTTATTAAATTCTCTTCAGTTATGGTTGAACGAGTCTGGGCCCAGTCTCTCCCAAGCCAAAGGTGACTGCCCAGGCTATTCTTTAGATTAATCATTTCTTGGAAGCATTTTCCCAGGTTTTTCCTAAGCAGTTAGGGGCTAGAATAGACGTATTATCATGTAGCAATTCACGTTCTTAGTGTTTATTTCCCAGACTGTTGTCACTGGATTCAAGAGTGGGAGTAGCTGTGATCCCTTGAGCCATTAGCCTACTAGAGTCTATAGCGCATTCATTGTCTCCTTTTAGGACCTGCAGTCTGCATTCATTGAGAATTCTCAAAGTTCACCTGTCAGTCATGGATATTTAACTGATACAGTTTTTGCAGTGACTTCCAGATTCCCATGATGCTTATAACTTCCCTCAGAAAAAGATGTAAATATTTTAGTCTTTGTTAGCAAACATCATAACTAAAATTGGTAGTCATTTGACAATAATCTTCCTCCTAACTAACCACAGCATTTTCTAGCTTCTCCAAATTGCCACCAAGAACTGGTACAAATAACTTCCATCCCAAAATATTGGAAGTCCTTCATGCTTCTCTCATCTTAATTGCTGACTTCTTTTGGGATAGACAGAGTTTTCTTTCTCCATTTCCTTTTGATCTGTGTTCTCTGATCAATATGTGATGGGATCATTGCTTTCACAGGAGCCCCTGTGGGATCGCAGGTCAAGTGTATGAGGATCAGAGAAGGCCTCTTCAGAGGCTAAATCTACGACACAAGAAGGGCTCCAATTCTTTAACTTGGTAAAGGAACCAGAAGAATTAGTAGTTTTCAGATTTACTTTCGGTTATTTAAGATTCCCACCCCAAAACACCATCTGCTACCCATCTGTAGTAACAGTGATCTTTTACGTCTGTAAAATACTTTACAGTTTATATAACTTTCTCCTCCATACCACTCTTTCTTATAATCCTCTGCAGTAAAAGAAACTGGAGCTTAGAGGTTAATCAACTTGTTCATGTTCTCAAAGCTGGTATCTATGTGGCAGAGCCGGAACTATTAATAGAACTCAGGTCTTCTGATTCTTAATTTAGAGTTTTTTCCTCTGCGCTCCCACTGCTTTCTTCTCAAACACAGAAAAAAAGAATCCAAGGCACATTTTATCATGCTTTCACTTTATTCCCTGACAAAGTATGGACCAAGCAAAAGTAAATCTTAAAGAAATTATTCTCATTTTCAACTGCATAATCGCAAGTATTTTTCTGTATACTTTGAATGGGCAAGTTCTAGTTTTCCTCTAGGTTGTATAAAAGACAGTGAGGAAAAATAGGAAATTATAAGTACCATATTCTTGTTTTTTGTAATTGATATTTCTTGCAAGTTAAATGAAATCTCACATCTGTTTTTAATAAAGCAAAGTACGCCTGTTGTAATGCGAGTGTCCTTGCAGCAAAATTCAAATTCTAGATTCCTTTGACCAAATTAGGTCTCTAACTGGAAATGTCTTCTCTTTACTCTTCTCGCCCAATTCTGGCTTGGCCCTGAGTGTCAGATTTAGTAGACCAATTACCAGATAGATATCTGCCTAGATGTGAGGAAAGAGGCAGACTTTACATTGTAAAGACCTTTTGTTTTGCAAATATCTAGAGATGGTTCAGACAGGTAGGCAAGCAACCCCCACTTTGACTTAAACAGAAGAATTTGCAGTCAAGGGAGAGAAACCAGTTGGAAAGTTTTTGGCAACAGCTCTTGAGCTTGGCCAGTGACAATCGTAGGACCTTATTGAGAGTACATTGTGATATACCAAACTGAGTAACTGATTGCGTGAAGATGTGATATTGCTCTTCCCTAATGTGTAAGTGGCTTTCTTTCTTAACTTTTTTTTTTTAATCCAGCTTCAAACATTGATTCAAGAGACTGATCCTGGTGCAGATTACCGCATTGACAGAGCTCTGAATGAAGCTTGTGAATCTGTAATACAGACAGCCTGCAAACACATCAGATCAGGAGACCCAATGTAGGTTATCTTATTTGTGCTATTTATCCATATTATATTTTATTATATTTGGCAGGGCAGCTCAGGGAACATTCCCTCAAATGACTTTTGGATGGTTTAACATCTTAACTGAAATTTTGTTAAACAGGAACACATACCAACTTTTGTTAAAACTACTGTTGGAATTGAGACTTCGGCTCTGCCTCATCCACACTGTAGAGACACCTAGACCGAGAATTGTGATGATATTTGTTGACATTGACTGACCATATATGGGCCTATACATTAGGTCACTGAATAATTCCATTTAATGGTCAAATAAAAATGAGATAGAGAAACTCTCAGGATAAAGAGTGACACATGCTTTGGCTCTGTATTTTTCATTTGTATATTAACTTGGATACATTGACTACTCAATAATCATTAGATAGAAAGTAATTAATTATTGAAATGAAAAAAATGTGATGGTTAGAGGGAGTAATAATGGACAAAATGAGCTCTGAAGTTGCATCCAAGATCCAGGAAAGCTGTACAATGCTGTAATAAAGTATTTGTATCTCATGCATTAGTTTTATTCCATATGATGTACAAACAGCTTTTAGAAACAGGTTGCAAGTAAGAACAGGTTTCCAATTCTGCAAAAATCTTTATAACCTGCAGCTGGCAGTACCCATCAATAAAAGCAATGCAGTCCATGTTTATCATCATTCTGCTATTCATGCACTCCTACTGTTCATACTGTGGTAGGGGATTTAAAAAAGGTCTTCTTCCTTAAAGCTCTTTGTGTAGTTGGAGGAGATAGACAAACACTCTTAAGACTAATTAAGAATATTTACCAATATGAAAATAATTGCACCAGCCATGAAGGGGCCAGTTGAGAGGGAGGAAAGAGGGAACTGCTACAGATTAAATAGATTTGAGATACTATCAATTAAATGTAGTGTGTGTGGACCTTTTCTGAGTCCCACTTTGAACAAAGATGTAAAAAGGCATGAGATAATTGGAAAAATTTGAAAACTGATAGGATATTTAATGATTTTCATTGATTTATTTTGGTGGATAATAGGATTGTGTTCTCCTATCATAGAGAAATATGGTGAAGTATTTACAAATGAAATGATATGGTATCTGGGATTTGCTGTAAAACATCAGTGAGGGGATATAGAGCTAAAACAAACTTGGCCATAGGTTGATAAAGCTATAGGAATGGAAGGTGGATGTATATGATTCTCTATTTTTGTGTGTGTTCGAAAATTTTCATAATAAACAGTTAAAAATAAAGCAGGTGCATGCAGATCTTATGCAAGCTGAGTCCTAAGTGCTGAGTGGCTCCGAAGTTGATAGAAGCCATAATCACTGTCAGGCTGGGTTAATTTGAGTGATTCTCAGAAGAGTAAACTCCTGATTGCCCTAGGAAAATAGTGAAATGGCTTTTCCCACAGACCAAGGAAATACTGATGCAAGAGTTCAGAACCTGTTGTCAGAACTCTTCTTTCCTTTGTTACAATTTCACCCCTATTTTATGCCCAGGATCCTCTCATGCCTGATGGAACATTTATACACAGAGAAAATGGTGGAAGATTGTGAACACCGTCTCTTAGAGCTGCAATATTTCATCTCCCGTGATTGGAAGTGAGTATTTTGAAGCCAGAGTAAGCGTAAGCCTCAGCCTGTTCTCCTGTGTCGCCAGTATCCCTGGTGTTTTTTGAGATAATCGGTAGGAATTTGTTTTTATTAAGTTCTAGGATAGCTGACAACACTCCGGTCCCCTGAAAAACCTCAGTATTTAAAGGCAGACACCGTCCTGCAGGTCTGTTCCCCAGTGCCCATGTTCACTACTACTTTGGAAGTCAGGGTCAGATGCTTCTGATACCACAAACATCGTCTAGAAAGAGCTTGGGCACCTATGGGGCAGCAGAAGCATCTTCAGATATGTCTTTAAGACGATAATAGCGCATTTTTATTCTTACTGATTTGCACTCAGTATGGGAATTTGCTGTTTCTTGTTTTTGATTGCTTTTATTTTTTTCCTTTTTTTATTTTAATTTTTGTTTTTATAGCAGTAACATTGGGTTATAACATTATATAATTTTCAGATGTACATCATAATATTTTTTGAATTCTGTGTAGATTACATCATGTTCACCACCCAAAGACTAATTATAATCCATTACCACACGGAATTTGCTATTTCTTTAACTATTCTAAGTTATTGAATTTATTCTGTCTTAAGAGGCTCTTACCAATAAGTGACAATTTGATTCTTTTCTCATCCTGTTAGCTGGAAAAAAGAGGAGAAGTGAAATAGGAGAAGTATCTATATTACACTCAGAATCTCTATAATTTATTGGCTTCAATCCCCTCCTCTTTCCATGTCTCATTTTCCCTTCCCCTTCGAAGCCGCCAGTACCTGATCAGTCTGCTCCTCCTGCATCCCAAGTTCAGCTGCTTCCTGATTCAGTTGTTTCAGCCACTGTACTTTGGTCATTAACTTTTTCTGGAGATTACTATATGTTTTACCCACATACTTTACTGGAAAGAGAATACTTGAGGATTCAATGTGTTTCTATTTCTGTTCCCTCAAATTAGCTCTGGAAAGGACTACAGAAAACTGTGTAGGAATTTCCCTGTGCTTACCCGGGCCATCTAGACTGAAATAGCAAAGAGTTTACTGCCTGAAAAAGTCATGTTTTTTCCTCTTCTGTAATTCCTTCACCCATGATCTAAAGATGCTTCACAGTCTTACAAGCTGCTCATTAAATACTAACTTTTCTCCTCCCCTTAAATAGCCCTTCCCAAAGTTGACATTGTAACATGGACAGAATTAAGCATGCATTGGCCTAATTTGGAGAAGCAGCAGGCTCATTGCCTGATCCACTGTCTCCAGAGTCTAAATTAAATGTCAGGGGTTTCTTTTCTTAAGGATTGGCACCTGAGCTAACAACTGTTGCCAATCTTCTTTTTTTTTTTTCTCCTCAAATCCCCCCAGTACATAGCTGTATATATTTTAGTTGTGGGTCCTTCTAGTTGTGATATGTGGGAAACCGCCTCAGCGTGGCCTGATGAGCGGTGCCATGTCCGTGCCCAGGATTCGAATCGGTGAAACCCTGGGCCGCCAAAGCGGAGCGTGTGAACTTGACCACTGGGCCACGGGGCAGGCCCCAAATGTCAGGTTTTTTAAATTGATACGCTTATTCAGGTATGCTGAAAATATAACTGCCTTACCTTGCATGGGGAAAAGAAGAGCAACAGTGTTACTAGAAAGGAAGTTGAGTGGGAGATTCTGTTTATCTTGCCATTTCCTGATTTTATTGAATCCAGTATATCAGGTAGGATTGAATTTTATTCATACTTAGAAAAAAGTATTGAATGAAAAGTTGTGAATTGCCTGATGGTAGCTAAAACCTTATTTTCTTGTTTCAGCCAGGGCATGTTAGTGCTAAGTGTAGTATTGTACTATTCTGTGCCTTACATAGCCAAGATAATATCTTTAAGGTAGAGCTTAAATCTTCTGTATTAAGGTTGACAAACACCATGTGTTCGTGAAGAACAAAATTCAGCAATGTACTTTTGCTTGCCTGCTGTCTCCACTACCCTGGAGGTGGTTACCAATGAGTACACAAGCAAGCACCTTGTAAAAACCCTTAGCATGTCTTAGAAGGAAAAGTATAGTAAGAGTGATTATCTTTTAACTCTTAACCTTATAGGCTGGACCCTGTCTTATACCGCAAGTGCCAGGGAGATGCATCTCGTCTTTGCCACACTCACGGTTGGAATGAAACCAGTGAACTTATGCCTCCTGGAGCTGTGTTCTCTTGCTTATATAGACACGCCTACCGCACTGAGGAACAGGGCCGGAGGGTATGCACTCAATATTGACTTCATTTCTTCTTATTGTCATTTGGTTTTTAATTAGTTTGCTATATGTTGTTCTGATTTTGTCATCCTAGGAAGACTTAGTATATTGGGCAGGGAAGGTTACTGCACTACTAGCAACTTTTTCATTCAGTGAACGTGCACAGAGTTGTTCTCCAGCTTCTTTCTGTCTGATTTTATGTTTTTAACAAAGTGAATCGGGACATTTCCAGTTTTTTTTCTTAAAATTACCAGAATCTAAATCACAAAGAGACAATTAAATTCTGTTCATCTAACTTTATTTAGCTTTAAAGATCCATTAGAAGCTCTTAGCCAGGATACAAATGGTCTTTAGGCTTCTGCCCTTGATAGCAGAGCACTAATGCCTATGGGAATGAGGCCTCCCTGACAGTACTCCAGTTGGAGCAGAAACCTCCATACCTAATCTCTTGGCATTTGACCTGATTGCTACTTCTTGTTGGGGTATTTGTGTGTGCTTGGCTCTCCAGCAAAATTTGCTGCTTTCCATTGTCACACTGATGTGCTGCTTGCTCTCCATGGTAGCCTTTTTAAGCCTTCTGAGATATCCCATTGCATTTCAGTCCTGCATTTGTTACAGAAAATAGGGAGGGTATTATTTCACATGCATGTTTACAAATACCCCTCTGAGTTCAATGCAAAAGTCTGACTGTTTAAGATTCAGAATGAGGAGACCCAAACAGAAAGAAATGTCGTACGTCAGTTACTGTGGTCTTAACCCAGGTTTTCTACTACTGTGTAAAAAAATATGGGAATTTGTTGTTACTTTTTCCTCCATATAATGAGCCTCTTATTAATCAAAGGCACTCCTAAATCCTGGCATCTTGGTAGTCACTATAGTAGAAAGTTCCTTCTCTTGTAATGAAGAAAGGGTTGGAATCTGGTATGATGTCTTTTTTTAAAATATACTAAAAAATATTAACTAAATATATATAATATAGTATATAAATAGTATGTAAATATATACTAAAAAAGTATAAAAATATACTAAAAAAGTATAAAAAATATACTTTTATAAATTGAAGTGAAATTTGCATAACATAAAGTTAACCATTTTAAAGAGAAAAATTCAGTTGCATTTAGTAGATTCACAAAGTTGTGCAACCACCAGCTCTACTTCTAAAACATTTCCATGTCTCCAAAAGGAAACCCCATTCTCATGAAGCAGTTGCTCTCGTCCCTTCCCTCACCCCAGCTGTGTTGGCTTTTTAGGAAAGAGAGACTGACTGTACCTGGCAATGACAGCTTTCTCACAACCCTACCAAATAAACTAATTTTCGTCTGTTTCACCCTCTGCTAATTTTCCCTAAATCGTCTAGAAGAGCCTAGTCCTGACCTATAGTAACTGTTGCCTGCTTCTTCCGAGTTTAGGTAAATTTGAACTCACTTCTCCTGACCCAAGTGTGTATTCTCTCCTGAATCGGATCAAGCATTCTACTCTTTATTCATAGGGTAGTGGCAAATTAATTTTGCTAAACACAAAACTCTGTAAGTTAACCGCAACAAATCCAGTTCACTTTATATCAGGATATCCTGAGAAAAGAATGTTGTTTCATATAGTATATTAGAAAATGCTGAGTGTATAATCTCATTTATAGAGACAGAGGTTTTTAGAGCCTCATGAAACATTTAATTCTTATTCTAGAAGAGATTCGAGGTATAAAGTTTGGTTCAACTAACTATAAAGTTATCTGTTAGTTTCCTGACAACAGATTTGCTTTGTTTAATGTCTTTTTCTTTTGGTTTTGATACCTTTAAAGTATTTTACTGTTGTTTCTCATGTAGCTCTCACGGGAGTGCCGAGCTGAAGTCCAAAGGATCCTACATCAACGTGCCATGGATGTGAAGCTGGATCCTGCCCTCCAAGATAAGTGCCTGATTGATCTGGGAAAATGGTGCAGTGAAAAAACAGAGACTGGACAGGTAAGTGACATAGCTACCTTATTTATCTTACAGTAATAATAATAATAATGTTCATGATTAACATTTTATATAGAGTACGACTACCATAAAATCCATCTCTGTTGGGGCTGGCCCACTGGTGTAGTGGTTAAGTTCGCCCACCCTCTTCAGTGGCCCAGGGTTCACAGGTTTGGATCCCAGGGGTGGACCTGCACACCACTCATCAAGCTTTGCTGTGGTGGCATCCCACATACGAAATAGAGGAAGATTGACAGATGTTAGCTCAGGGCCAATCTTCCTCACACACACACACAAAAAAGTCCATCTCTGATTACTTCACAGACATGGTTTGTTATATTATTCTTCAATCTTCCACCTGTAAAAAATCCTCAGGAAAGTTTTCTCTTTGGTCTCCATATTAGGAATAATTGTACTTTTCTTAAGCAATTAGTTTGTTTTTATATTATGGTTACTGTATTTTATAGTTTATTATTTTCCCCTCTGTGTTGCCTCTTAAAAAGCCTGGAGCCAAACATATGGCCTGTCTCTAACAAGTGTATAAGGTTTTATGGTGGGCATTTTGTGTACCAAGCTTACTGCTGACTTCACTCCACTTTCTTTACCATATTTTCCTTTTCTTTCCTATTTTTTGCTCACTTTTAATTCATTTTATCTTTTTTTTTTTCTTTTCTCACTTTTATAAGCTACATTAAGTCCTTTTGAGGGAAGGCAGGATATAAATACATACATATGTATGTGAATACTGGCATGCATGAATAATGAGCATGTCCTACAACAGTCCTACAAGATATGTAGGAATGGAATTATTTTTTCCTTCTAGTAGTTGACAAAATTGAGGCTCAGAGAAGTGAAGTGTATTGACTTCCTTCCGTAAAACTCAGGTCTAATCCTAGCAGGCATTTATTCTATTATAACGTAACCTCTCCAATACAGGAGAGTGTAGGGAAGGAGCAGCCCCCAAGGATTACAAGCATGCTATGAATGATTTCTAAAGATTTTGTACCTAGTTTTAAAAAAAGAGAAAGAAAGGGTGCATTACTGCATTCTAGTAAATTAAGGGGGAAGTAGCTTGTCTTCTATCGTAAGGCAGGGATACCAAGCAGTGAGGAATAGCTAGTTGGATAAAGCCCCATTAATACTAGAGTAAGGTGTGAACTCAGGTTTCCAGCTTCCATTTATAACACTCCAAAACACCCTCTGGAACCAAACTATTAAAAAGTCACGTGTACAGGAATTGAACATTTTTTTTTTTTTAAAGATTGGCACTTGAGCTAACATCTGTTACCAATCTTCTTTTTTTCCCCTTTCTTCTTCTCCTCATAGCCCCCCGGTACATAGTTGTATATTCTAGCAGAGGTCCTTCTAGTTGTGGCATGCAGGACACCGCCTCAGCATGGCTTGATGAGCAGTGCCATGTCCACGCCCAGGATCCAAACCGGCAAAACCCTGGGCTGCCTAAGCGGAGCGCACGAACTTAACCACTCGGTCCCGGGGCCGGCCTCGGAATTGGACATTTTTAAGAAGCAGCATGGCTGCCTACTCAGATCTGATGGGCCTGGGAATATCATTTTCAGCAGTCTGCTTCCTGGGCCTTATACAGTTCTGTCGAGTTTATTGTTACAAGATGCCTATAGTTCAGCTTTCTGCTGCCTCTGTCTAATGAAACAGAGACACAGTGGTATGGAGTCCCAGGAAAGTTTCCTTTCCTACCCCTGTAAAGTAACATCGAAAAAGCTGCACTACATTGCAGCCCATCACTGTGAAGCTAAACTGAGGAAAGGAGGGGCCGGCCCAGTGGCGCAGCGGTTAAGTGCGCACGTTCTGCTTCTCGGCGGCCGGGGGTTCGCCGGTTCGGATCCCAGGTGTGAACATGGCACCACTTGGCACGCCATGCTATGGTAGGCATCCCACATATAAAGCAGAGGAAGATGGACACTGATGTTAGCTCGTGGCCAGTCTTCCTCAGCAAAAAGAGGAGGATTGGTGGCAGATGTTAGCTCAGGGCTAATCTTCAAAAGATAAAATTAAATTAAAAAATAAACTGAGGAAAGGATTCCGTGAATAGGGTTTTTCCCGTAGCTGTTTATCTTACTCCCAAATGTTTTATGCATTTTCCTTTGGGTTCCCTCACCACCACCATCACCAATTCTGGCTGTTGTATGATACCTACAGCCCTCTCCTCCCTTCTCATTCTAATTCTGCGCAGGGAGGTTCTTGCAGAATGGTCAGTAAGTTAAACTTGATCCTTTAACAGAGCATTTTGCTGAGAAATAGCTGTTGATATGCTTTGGGAAAGTGAGCTGATATTATACTTCAAATCTCTAAATCTCTAAGAGGAATAGTGATAGGCTGATGCTATGGGGTAGCTCCAGCTCAGTTTCTAAAGCCCAGACAAGACAGCTTTTAGATCCCCAAGCCCTAGTGTGCTCACTTGTTTCAGGGTTTCCCTCAGAGGATCCTTTTAATGGGGGCTGGGGTTAGAGTCCTAGATTGGACTTGCAGGAGCTATTGGTTCTGTGCTGTGTTTCCGACTCTGGGTCCCAACCTGCTTTGCCCATGAAGAGTCTTAAAATATGCCACATCTTTCCCTGTGAATTTGCTGTTCAACAATTATTATCAAAATGCAGATTTAAAATGGAAGACAAAGATTATCAAAACACAGGTAAAAATGGAATGGCAGGGTGTTAATGAATGAAATAAAGTCCTGATTATTTTAGACTCTGAGGACACCCAAACACTGATGATGATTAATTGTTGGACTTACCAATTTGGCCTTCTGGAGGATTCTCATGGCTGTTGTATCCCCTTAAACCTCTTAACCACCCTGTTACGTCAAGTACTTATCCTTTCAACAATCCCAGTTTGGAGAATCAGATAAAGCATTAGTGTTCTGTTCTGTGAAGTCATTTTAATAAGAGAAGAAGAAGAGGACCTCTGAAAAGGAAGTCGACACTAGTATCTCAGCTTCCCTTGACCATTTATGCAACTGGCAAATGCCAAGGGATTGCCTTTTGATTTGCAGGAGCTTGAGTGCCTCCAGGATCATCTCGATGACTTGGCTGTAGAATGCAGAGATATAGTCGGCAACCTCACCGAGTTAGAATCCGAGGTAAGCATTTGCAGCTCACAGAAGGAGAGTGTCCTGTCAGCAGCCTTTGCTTTTTTTCTTAGTTCTACTGTTTCTAGACTCTTGAGCATGCAGAGTCTCTGTAAAACAAAAGAAGCCTTGTCAGATTCTCTCCATTTGCTTTATAAAGAAGTATATTGTGTTGCTTCCCGAACCCCTCTCCTCATTTCTCTAGAAAAACACTCTATACATTTAGCTCTTTGGTTTTCTTCATGTTAGAATTATCACAGTGATTAGATGTATCGTTTTCCCCCCCTTTTAGAAAATATAGCAAATGTACTTCAGATCTCTTAATCACATTCAAGAATAGTCCAAGCATTCCTATTCCCTTATCTTTAGCTTTTTCAGTTAGGTCATTTGGTAATGTTTGTGTGTTTAATGAAATAAAAACGTGGGACTTCCAGTTAAACATGAACGATTGAATACGTGTTCCATCCTGAAACCCATTCAGTTGTAAAAACGGGGGTTAAAAAACCTCATAAGCATAGGCATATTATTTAGAAATACAGAGATTATTACAGGGTGGAGCAGCTAAAAAGTTAAAATTGGCTTGTGCAGAAATCACGGTAACAAAGAAACAAAGAATTGCTTTTTTATTTTATCTAACCCTTTTAGAACTATTTGAATTGTCAAAATTGGCAATACATAAAATTACATTTCTCAGCATCTTTTTTTGCTTTCTGTTTTTCAAAAGTTTATTGCCTTTTTCATCTTCTGTCATCTCCTCTCCCATTCTCATGTCCTTGTGGGCTAATGAGGACATTCTGGGTGTGTAACTTGAAAGGAAGATCTTGTTTCAGCAGCTAGTGCTATGCGGCGGGTACTGAGCTTAAAGGCGTTCAGTGTGGTTCCCCAGATGCAGTGGTTTGTCATCTGGTTTGAGGACAGTGATCTCGTTTAGGAGCTTAGAAACTAAAGATAGAGGTCAGTTACTCCTATTTTCTTTTTGAACTGCTTAGCTTTTTGGGGAAAATTCCAAAGGCTTTACATACTCTAATATTATTTTTAAATACTTTTTTCTCCCCACCGTTCTTAATTCTGCATTCTCTTTTGTTTGGGCACAAGGGGAATCTGCCTCTAGAAAACTTGCCTTTCGAAGTATAATGGAGGAGCAGTTCTATCTATGCTGGGGCTATCTTACTTAAATACTAGGGTAGTTTTTAGATGTCCATTTTAGATTATATACCCATCAGATGCTACTAATTCAGAAAAAGAAACTGCTCCTACTCTTACCCCTGGCTGTTTCTAAAGCAGAATTATTAATGTATGTTATCTTCTACAGGATATTCAAATAGAAGCCTTGCTGATGAGAGCCTGTGAACCCATAATTCAGAACTTTTGCCACGTAAGTGATGTCTGGAAAAACAAGGGTCACAAATAGAACCAGATTCACTGGGCCTCTGGCCCGCAAGTGTGTTGGACTCATCTCTGTCTCCAGCACACGTTTCTCCTGAGTGATAGCCAACTTTGACAAGGTAAAGTTAAAATGTAAACATCATCGAGAGAGGAGTGCCACCATCCTGGGAAACCTTATTTGATTATCCCTTGTGGGTACCCAGGTGTGTGGTTAGCAGCACTTGTTGAGATGCCTTTTATAAACAGAGAGAAAAGGGGGAAGCCACTATCAGCATGGCTGAGTTGCTTCAGATACATCAGTCCAGGATTTGTTAGCAATAATAGTGGCTTTCCCCTTCCAGCTGTCTCCTTGTACCTCGATATTGGGGGAATTCTGTTAGTTTATTCACTTACTGAACTATCTAAATTGTGGGAGTGAAGCACACCGAGGACCCGTGAGGATCTGACACCCAGGAGGCGGTGTCAGATGCTACCCTGAAAGCCAGCTTCCAACATCAGAAGGAAGGGAGTAAAGGCCCTGCATGGTGCATGTTCTCATTGGCGCTTCATGTGGGGCAACTTGCTGTGTAAATTTTATTCCCCTGAATGTTTATTCTTTGTAATTTCTCCAGCTTATTTTGACATGATTTGTGGTATATCTTGTTTGTGAAGGCTCTAGAATCAGTCTAGAATCAGTCTTGTTTGTATTTCTCATGGGCTGGGGCGTAGGGTTTTTTCATTAGAGGTTACAAATAAGGTGTAAATGTGCACTGCTTTCCCCAGGATGTGGCAGATAACCAGATAGACTCTGGGGACCTGATGGAGTGTCTGATACAGAACAAGCACCAGAAAGATATGAATGAGAAGTGTGCCATTGGAGTCACTCACTTCCAACTGGTCAGTAACACCTGGCAGGTCCTTCTTGCCTTGGCTCTTTGGATGGCTACTGAATCCCTTCCTCTTTTAGAACATCAGAGCACCACTTCTGTGAAAAACCATTTTCTCCAAATATATGTCCTATTTCGATTTATTCTCAGTAAATGTGATGTTTTTATCTGCTAGGGCCAGGTACTTTGTTAGACTTGGGAAATGCAATGATAGATAAGACAGGGTCTGTACCCTTAAGGAGCATGCAATCCAGTGGGGATGGGGACAAATAAACAGGCGTTTCCTGCTTCAGTCACACTGCTTGCTTACATAAGATATTTTAGCTTTTCCTTTGACAGTTAGTATCAGTGGGGTCTGCTATTTTGTGTCACTGTTCAGTGCAGCAGCCCAAATGTATATCAATACTCTGGACTCTAAGCCTTTTTTTCTTTTAAATCATACTACCCAGGGTTGGCATTTGAATAAGATGGTTAAACTATGCTCTCCATAGTTACCACATGTCAAAAGGCAGTGTTTCTGGTAAAGCAAGCACTTCCCTCCCAGGAGGATGACATCCAGTCAACTGTGTAAAATTGATCTCTTCTCCGGGCCTGTTGCCTTTAACAAACGGTATCGAGGGCCGCTGAGTGCAGGCACGGGGAGACAGAGGTGGAATGACAGATCCTGCCCTTGTCAACTCCACTCAATATTCTGATTTTCTTTCTGATCATCTTTTTCAGGTGCAGATGAAGGATTTTCGATTCTCTTACAAATTTAAAATGGCCTGCAAAGAGGATGTGTTGAAACTTTGCCCCAACATAAAGAAGAAGTATGTAGCTTTTAATTGATTCGTTCTGCTTCCCCAAAGTCCCTCTTAGTTACTGAATGAACACCCAAGACGCCAGGCAGCCTCCTGCTGTCTGGCAGATTAGCCCTGGAGACCTCCTGCACGCTCCTTTGGTGGTATGGCCAAACACTTGGATTGTCTGGACAGATCGTCTTTATAGCTGCCTAGAGCCACAAATGGTGGTGGTAGTTCTGATATGGAGAGCCTATAGCCTAAAGGAGCATTTTGAATTTTTCCAGGTTAAGGCCATCTAACTGATGAAGCAGATATAGATTGTTTACTTAGAGGAGCAAGTTGCAGTATGAATAAAAGACGTTAACTGCCTTCCTCCTGACATCATTCCATTAAGTTGTTTCTTCAGGGAAACAGCAGAGGCTTTTACTGAGTCAAAGATCTTAGGAAGAAACAAAACCTTTATTCATTTAAGAATTAGGTCTTATTGAGGAGAGTGATGAGCTGTTATAGCATGGCTACCCAAATGCTTCCATGTTACTCTTTGAAAAGGCACATTTCTAGAAAACATTTGCCCGCAAATCAAGTTCCCATTTTGCTCAGGTTTCTGTACCTTTCTGGAATGAGTGTCACAGTACATCAAAGACACAGTTCAGAGTTAAGAGCAGCATTCCTCTCTGGTCACATGTTTTTAACAAAACAAGTGTTGAACTGTGCTTGCACACATGTCCCCTCTCTGGCCTCCCCACCAGTCAGAAATGTAGTCAGAATGTAGTCAGAATTGTAGTCAGCATGGCCCAACTTTTATGACATACACAGTCAAATTACTACTTTTAGCACTCTGAAAGGAGAGTGAGACTTACAGGAAAGGCATTGGGAAACACAGAGGGGTCACGGATTCTGGGGAGGTGGTATGGCACCTGCCCCCGTCCAGTTCTCAGCTGTCTGCGCACGTGTGGCTCCTGCCAGTCTCAAGTCTTCTCTTTTCCTTGGCAGGGTGGACGTGGTGATCTGCCTAAGCACCACCGTGCGCAATGACACTCTCCAGGAAGCCAAGGAACACAGGGTGTCCCTGAAGTGCCGCAAGCAGCTGCGGGTGGAAGAGCTGGAGATGGTAATGCCTCGTTGCACAGTCTCTGGTCCCAGAAGCCACAGGGGCAGGGCTTAGAAAGTTGGGTGAGAGGCGAGGGCAAATTGGAAGATTTTATTAACAACTGTTGAATGGAAAAGACTCAGAGCTAAGTGCTGAAATTTTACCATATGGCAGCTTCTTGCTTTACCTTTTTTTTAATGATAAAATATTTTTATAATTTTATGTGCGGATAAAATACTGCACATAACTGGAAGTCCAGCTGTAAGACAAGCTGTAAGCATGTGATACAGTCATTGCGTCAGTAATGTCCTCAAGGATCGAGGGTCTTTCTCTCTCCGCTCCGCTATCCCTGGCACTAACTTGATCGTAAGGCTGGCTTCCTTCATGGCTGCATGATGGCTGCCCGCAACAACTGGGCTACTTGCGCCAATATTCGTCTGCAGCAGGAAAATAAAAACAAGAGAAAACTACCCCCAGCATGAAATACAGATCCTTCCCTTCAATTTGATTGTGTCAGCTTGAGATCTGTGCTTACTGCCTGAGCAACAGTTTCCAGGGAAATGCCACACTCTGGTGAGCTTACTCATCATTGAGGCGAAATGGATATTGGGAAGTCAAGCACAGGCTGCACTATAAGAAGAAACTTCTTACTTTTCTTTTGAGGTTAAGCGCAAAGCATGTTAAGAAGACAGGTAAAAATTTTTTGTGATATGTTTTATATTGTGAATCATACTTATTTCATCTCAGTCTAAGCGACAACTAGTACTGAACACCAAACACCATTAATGTTGCAAAAGTTGCATTACCATATTTTCACATATAGTGGTAGTGATTCAGTGACACTTATGTTTAAGTGGAGCTGGCCTAAATGCTCTATTTTAGTTGGGACTTTGGGTCCCTAGCTTTGACCCTAGCTCTTTCAGTAAAATAATAAAGGCAGGACCCTACATTTATATAATGGTTTTAACTTTCTAATGTGGTTTTTGCATGATATTAATCTTATTTCACCTCATAGCAGTCCTGTGAAGGGGTCAGGGTAGATGGTAGCATTTCATCGTAGAAAGAAAGTCCAAGGCCAAGTAGCTAGTTAGTGGCAGAACTGACACTAAATCCCATTTGTCCGTTTACTACAGCGGCCACACGGCTGCCACTTTGCTGTGTAAAAGCGGTGGTCATTAGCCAAGATCCAGTCAACAAATAAGTCTGTAGAACATTTGACATCTCCAGCTTAAAATAAGCTCACTTTTCTATGCTGGTTCCCTCTCATGCAGACAGAAGACATCCGTCTGGAACCAGACCTGTACGAAGCCTGCAAGAGTGACATTAAGAACTACTGTTCCACTGTGCAATATGGCAATGCTCAGGTAATGTTTTGTGTTGATTTTTTAATTGTAAAGGTAACATGTTAATAATTAATTCTTCACCAGTGAGATAGACCCCATCACATCCTTTCCAGCCTGATCAGCCCCTCTTTTTTTTTGGTGAGGAATATTGTCCATGAGCAACATCCATGTCAGTCTTCCTCTATTTTGTATGTAGGATGCCACCACAGCGTGACCTGATGAGCAGTGTGTAGGTCCACACACGGGATCCAAACGTGCAAACCCCAGGCTACCAAAGCAGAGCATGCGAGCTTAACCAGTATGCCGCCAGGCCAGCCCCATGATCATCCCCTCCTAAGCTGTGCCAGGGTACTTTCCCCAAAGTTCCTCACCTGCATTCCTCTCTGTCTCCTCTTCATTGTCTCCCCTCTTTCAGGTTACCCTGTCCTTCCCTACCTTGTCTGCCTAGTATACTGCTAATGATCCTTCAAATGCCTCTTCCTCTCTATAGCTTTCCTAACACTCTGCATCTCCAAAATTAATTTATTCCCTTATACATTTCCATTGCACAGAAGTTCTTAACTAGAGGTCACATAAGAATTTCCTAGGGAACTTTTTTGGGGGTTTTTTTTGTGTGTGTGTGTGAGGAAGATTGGCCCTGAGCTAATGTCTATGCCCATCTTCCTCTATTTTGTATATGAGATGCCACCACAGCATGGCTTGATGAGCGGTGCGTAGGTCTGCACCCAGGATCCGAACCTGTGAAACCCAGGCCACCAAAGCAGAGCAAGCAAACTTAACCATTATGCCACTGGGCCAGCCCCCTTTTTTTTTCTTTTTTTAATACACAGAACAGGGCCCTACCCAGAATCATCAGAGTGAAGTGCAAGTGATTTTTTTTATTGTTCTCCCCTGGACTCACCTCCCTCTTCTAGTTGAGGGCATTGCCATGGTGCTTTAGCCTTTGAGATAATGGCTTCATTGTCTTCTTGATCTATTATTGTTGATGCCAAGTCTGATGTCAGTCTGATTCTCATTTCTGTGTAGTTAATCTCTCTCTGAATTTTTTCTTTATTTTTAATGATCTGTAACTTCACTGTGACATAATTAGGAATGGTTTTTGTTTTCTTTATCCTAGTTTTTTCCGTCTCAGAATTCATGTCTTCATTTCTGGGAAATTCTCAGTCATGTTTGTTCACATATTGTCTTCCTTTTCCTTCCTTTTGGAACTCCTGTTTAGACAGTTGGAGCATCTGAATCTGTCCTCCATGTCTCTTAACTTTTTCTTTCATGCTTTCCATTTTTTTGTTTCTTTGTACTACATTGAAGTAATTCCATTTCCCAGCTTAGTAATTTGTTCTTCAGCTCTGTCTGTTTTGCTCTTTAGAGAGACCACCAATTGGGTTTTATTTTTCATTTCCAAGATCTGTAATTCATTCTTTTCATAAGTACCTGTTTTTGACTGTTGTTTACTATTTCATTCTGTATTGCTCTGAGGATAGTAAATATATTTTTTAATTGCTCTCCTACCTTTTTCCCTCAGTTATTTGGTGATTCTTGGTTGTGCCTTGAGGATTTCATAGAAATCTCATGACTTCATGCTACGGCCCTAGCTATTGCAGCTTCCCATCTGCTTCTCTTCTTTATTTTTTTTTATAATACCTATAAGGTTGATGTAGGGGAGATTTCAGGATATACTTAATTTATTATCTTAAAACCCGTCCTGTAGCACTTTATGCTTTTATGTTAACCCACTCATCTTTTTTATTGTAGTTATTTGTTTATATAAGTTTGCCCTGTGAGATTGTGTATTCGTCAAGGGTAAGGATTGGGTCTGATTCTTATCTGGCATCTAATGGTCTGTTCTCATGTGGTAAATGGTGAGTTGAACTGCACCTCCTGTCTTGTGCCTACTGTCTAGTCAGGATTATTGCTCCAGGGAAATGCAGAGAGCCTGTGTATGCTCCAGAAGGAATCTTGACAAGGAACAGGTCTAGAAGGCAGAAGAAACTGGGAATCCTGAATGGGTTTCCTTCCCTTTGGACTCCAGTGCAGCCTGCTATTCATCTGTAATTTTATGCAATTTGATTTGCTGTTAGTCCTCAGGTTATAAATCTATAAATATAATTCTTCTTGGTGAGGAAATCCTGATTCCTATTAACCTAGGAATTAGAAATGGAAGGTACTTGGATAGGAAAATGTGGGACACACTAAGAACTGAATGCTTCGGTCAGAATACATGGATTATCAATCCTTCATACACCCCTTAACTTGACCATAATTCTTATGCCATAGATTATTGAATGTCTGAAAGAAAACAAGAAGCAGCTAAGTAACCGTTGCCACCAGAAAGTTTTTAAGCTGCAGGAAACAGAGATGATGGACCCAGAACTAGATTACACCCTCATGAGAGTCTGCAAGCAGATGATAAAGGTAAGGGATCCAAAACCAAGGGTTAAGCACAGGGTAAGTAAAAATGACAGCAACATAACTTCTTGAAATTTCAGAGCAAATTCATATAATCTTTCCATTTCAACCTGTTTTATACAGCTAAGATGGTAGTTCTCAAAGGCTGGTCCCTAGAGCAGCAGCAGCAGCATCACCTGAGAACCTACAGATGCTCAGGGCCCCCCCCCCCCCCCCCCCCCCCCGGAGCTACTGAATCAGAATCTCTGGGAGTGGAGAGTCTTTTTAACGAGCCTCCAGGGGATGCTGCTGTACGCTCAAGTTTGAAAACCACTGAGCTAAGATTCTCTTTGACCTAAGGCACAAGTAAAGAGATGTCCAATAAATATATGATTAAGTTTTGAGGGCAGAGTCGTAGGTATACCACAAAAGCCACCACTGAATGTCCTGATCATCCATCTACCACAATAAAAAGGCTTTGGTGTTCTACAAGTTCTTCTGCTTCATTTGCTTCTCCAGTGAACATTCTCTGCAGCAGGGCTGACTTGACAATCTAGGTGTCAGTTTGTGGATCTATCCACATATACGAGAGATTAAACTTCAGGTTCTAACCCCTTTTTTCAGCTTCCCTTTAAAATAAAATGTGACTTTTCACCCTATCAAATAAATTCCAAAGAGAATTTTAAAAGTTAGAGAAGTCTCTTTAGCTGGGCCTGGTAGAATTGAGTCCTTTGTAAAAGTGAAAATGTCGGGCTCTGATTTGAAGGAGCTTTGTGAGATTTTGAAAGCTTTTATAAAAATCAATCAGCAATCCATGTCTCCATATTAAGATATTAGTAGATTATAATTAGTAGATAGACTGTAGATTAGCAGGTAGAGTTTATTGCTAGTCCAAAATGGATCTCTGACTTCAAGGACACTAACAAGTGTACAGGGCCTAGCCCCACAGGATTCCGTAGGATTATAACCCCTATAGTTAACAGATGAACCAGATAGGTCCTTTCCCCACATCTCTGTCCACATTGGTTGGCGAGTAATTCCTAAATTTCCTATTGGGATTGAGTAGATTTGGCTTGAGGACTACATGGCCATGTGGTACAATGTTATATTCGTGCTTAAACAGGATTTAAGCTCATGAGATGTCATGTAATGTAACATAGCCGTGTAGGTAGAGAATCAATCTATGTAGAGTAGGAAACAGTGAGGTGGTAGAAAGAAATGTGAGAAATATAGTAGAGACTAGGTAAAGAAAGGGGGACTTGAGACTGAGTGCTTATTCAGACTTAGCCAGTTCTCTTGTACCACGTGATACCTTCAGGCTGTTTGTCTTAAGCTCCTCAATAGATCTAAGAGTGATACAGATCGTGTTAATTGCCACATTTGGATACCTATTTTTATAAAACTTTGTTTCTTTGCAGAGATTCTGTCCAGAAGCAGATTCCAAAACTATGTTGCAGTGCTTGAAGCAAAATAAAAACAGTGAATTGATGGATCCCAAATGCAAACAGATGATAACTAAGCGCCAGATCACCCAGAACACAGGTATCTTGGCTTGGCTTTCCTGGTCCCATTGAGCACAGCATAAGTGGAATCGAGTGGGCATATACTTGCATAGTTAAACCATAGGTGGTTTGTTCATCGTGAATTTTAAGGGAAGAGTCTAGATGTAAGAAAAATGACTTACTCCTTCCTTGAAGAATATCCAGAAGAACAGAATGAAAGTCATGTGAAAGAGAGGCCTGAAAAAATAGAAAACTGCTTTTGAAAGGCGTACAAAAGGAATCAGGGCTAGCATTCCTTGATAAGTATGAAGATTTAATAAAACTTCATGCACGTGGTAGGAGAATATATGAGTAATCTGTTTTAGAACAGAGAAATTTCACCTCTGCATTGCAAGACCTTGTAATTTACTGGGCAAGGTGAGTTAGAGATTCTGTTTTCAGTGTTTTTAAAATACGTTATGGGGAAAGTTGCTGGTGTCTGCTTGGTTTTGTGAGGACTGCTTGAACCTTGGTCTGAACAAACCCAGCAGAGCTGCCGCAGAGCAGAAGCATTCCTGGGGGTCTCGACATCCACTCTTTCACCCAATTATGTTACTGGTTAGAAATACTGTAGTGAGGGCACAGTAAACATGTATTAAGTAAACAAATCCGTGGTTTATTCATGGTCATTGCCATAATATGCCCCCTTTTGGAAGATGGATCTCAAAATTTGTGAATCCGGGTGGAATATTTTATCATGTGCTTATCTCTTTCTGCTCTAGATTACCGCTTAAACCCTGTGCTGAGGAAAGCCTGTAAAGCTGACATTCCTAAATTCTGTCATGGTATTCTGACTAAGGCCAAGGATGATTCGGAGCTCGAAGGTCAAGTCATCTCTTGCCTCAAGCTGAGATATGCTGACCAGGTAAAGTGGCCTGTGCTTTCCACAGAGGTGTATTTATGGAGCCACCACTATTCCTGATGCTCTTTTCTTTGGAAGTTCTTAGCTTGTTCCTACTTTCCCCAGACCTTTTTCATACCTTTCCCAAGCCAGGGCCAAATAAAAAGCTGAAGTTGTCTAATAGGCTGACTTTTCTCCCTTTGTTACAAGTAGCGCCTCTCTTCAGACTGTGAAGACCAGATCCGGATTATTATCCAGGAGTCTGCTCTAGATTACCGACTCGATCCTCAGCTCCAGCTACACTGCTCAGATGAGGTAGGTTTTGGGTATGAAGCTGGTTGTGAACAGAGCTGGTCAGAGAAATTTTTTTTTTTTTGCTGAGGAAGTTTCACCTGAGCTAACATCCACTGCCACTGTTCCTCTTTTTTTGTATGTGAGCCACCGCCACAGCATGGCCACTGACAGACGAGCGGTGTGGGTCCATGCCCATGAACTGAACCTGGCCTGCCAAAGCGGAGTGTGCTGAACTTAACCACTAGGGCCCCGGGGCTGGCCCTCAGAGAAGTTCTTATTGGAGAAAAGTTCTTTATTCTACTCTCTTTCACTTCAGCCTTGAATCCAGGGTTTGTTGAAGGCCCATCTTCTAGGCTCTCCATTGTCTGAGTTCCTGGTTCTCCGTAACACTGAATTAGACTTGGCATTAGTCCTGTCGCTGTACAATGTTGGTTCCATATTTCTCTATGGAACAAGAGTATCCTTTTATTATTATATCTCTCTACATAGTTTGTTCTTCCCTTCTCCTTATTCTGATGGTCAGCCAGAACACCCCCAGGACTTGCCAGAAAGACAGAAGTGCTCCTATAAAGAAGCGTCTGTCCTTGGAAATGACTTCCTAGCTAGAAAAGGCCATCTGGGGAACCTTGTTCAACATATGTCAGTTTTAGGGGATTGTAGCTAAAGCTCTTTCAAAGAAGCTTACTCATAAAGCTGTCCAAAGAAGGTTACTTTTTTGTTTTTGTCTTTGCTGAGGAAGATTACCCCTGAGCTAATATCTATTGCCAGTCTTCCTTTTTTTTTGCTTGAGGAAGATTAGCCCTGGGCTAACATCCATGCCAGTCTTTCTCCATTTTATATGTGGGTCACTGCCACAGTATGGCTGATGAGTGGTGTAGGTCTGCACCTGGGATCCACACCCATGAGCGTAGGCTGCTGAAGTGGAGTGTGCCAAACTTAAGGACTACACCACAGGGCCAGCCCCAAGAAAGTTATGTGTTTAATCTGTGCTGCAGGCTGTGTTTCAGGACCTCTGTGTGTGTGTGTGTGTGTGTGTGTGTGTGTGTGTGTGTTTCCAAGTTGTGAATCTAAGTTGACCAAAGCTCTGTAAATGTCAAGCATTTGCTTTTAGTATTTTACTTGGCTTTATAAACTTCATGTGGAATCAGGAAGTAGCCTTCTTTGTGACCAGTCCTGGGACAGTCTGACTCAAATCTCAGCGTTGACAGAATAAAGATATGTGCATTGACTGGTTCTCTGTGTGCTAGTCCTTGTGAATGAGAACGGAGCCTGGCCCATACGGGAGGGAGGGGAGAGAAATCCACCAGGAATCTGTTTGAGAAGAGCCCTGGGCACGTGTGTGGGAAGATCACCAGATCCACACATTTCAGAAACAAGGTCTCTGGTGAGAGCAAGGGTGACCTTGTTTATCGGATGTCTCCTAATAGATCTCCAGTCTATGTGCTGAAGAAGCAGCAGCCCAGGAGCAGACAGGTCAAGTGGAGGAGTGCCTCAAAGTTAACCTGCTCAAAATCAAAACGGAAGGGTGTAAGAAGGTAACCGCCATCAATCACCATATTTCCGCCACTTGCTTTTCTCTTCTCTTGTTCCTTTTAAAGCTGTAGTCTGCATGTCTTAGTAAAATCTAAACCGTCCTTCCCAGAATTCTACTGTTTCCTCTTACCAGACTTTACCGTTAATTGCCTATAACTTAAATATTCTTTTACATGTACTAATTATTTGTGAGTATGTCTCCTCCTCATGACTAGACCATTGTTTAAGGGCATTGTGAGTGCTATACCAAAGCAAAATATCAATTCCAATATTTGACATTATATGATGTTTAGCAGATATTTTCATCTTCTCAAAATGTTCCACATTCCACATGGTCTGAGAAGTGGTAGAAGTTGGCTAAAAGCTAAATGTAGATATTTTCCTTGGACTACTTTGTCATCAAATGATCCCATCTAACTTTAAGAAGGACTTTTTGAACAATATTTGAGTTTTGGTTTTTATTATTGTTGTTTTACCGGGACTACAGTCTTTTTTTTTTTGAGGAAGATTAGCCCTGAGCTAACTACTGCCAATCCTCCTCTTTTTGCTGAGGAAGACTGGCCCTGAGCTAACATCCATGCCTATCTTCCTCTACATTATATGTGGGACGCCTCTACAGCATGGCTTTTGCCAAGTGGTGCCATGTCCGCACCCGGGATCTGAACCGGTGAACCCCAGGCCACCGAGAAGCAGAGAGCACAAACTTAACCACTGTGCCACTGGGCCGAGCCCCTGACTACTGTCTTTCTATTGAGGGCAGACTAATTTTTGTCTAAGAAAGCAGTTCTGTCCTGTCTTTACCTCCTATAATTTTATCACGTATAAATGGAGAGTCTGCAGAGCTGATTTCAGTTCTATCACATTCCTGTTCCTCTTATTCGGAACATCTTTAAACTCACAGAAGAGTTATTCTCATGGTGGAAGTTATCTTCTGTCAATTCTTTTTTCCCTTTTGAGGATAATAGAAGTAAAGTGAAATATTTTGCAAACAAATATACCTTTGTTTGATTGGGAATTTTAATATAGCATATTACTCTGATTTTCAGATTTCACATTTTCAGACTTAAAGTAACAAAATAACTGTATTACATAAATATAAAAACTAACATTTTGTATTTAATAATAGGGCATACCAGAATGCCGAAAACCTAAATCTGATCTTATAGCCCCCTGCTTTGTGTAGCACACAGCTTTGCATACGAAGTGTACGCAGGTCTATTATTGAATTCGATCAGATGCTAACAATCTGCGTTCTTTGCATCATCACACCTTGCTGTGCATCTCAGGCTCTTTTGACTCAACCTTCCCTCCTTAACTTTCTTTGTATATAAAGTATTTATAGACAACAGATCTGATGCATTTCCTGTATAAAAGCTCTGTCTACAACGATCCTGTCTTCCTAGGAAGTGTTAAACATGCTGAAGGAGAGCAAAGCAGACATCTTTGTGGACCCAGTTCTTCATACAGCTTGTGCCCTGGACATTAAACACCACTGTGCAGCCATCACCCCTGGCCGTGGGCGTCGTAAGTCACTGTGTTCCCGCTGAGCCTGTCTGAACCATCTTGGGAGGAGCAGGGACTCCCTGTGAGACATCAGCTGCAGCTACTCTGTTCTGTAGCTTCAGTTCAACCACAGACAGCACCTCCTGGGGGCCTGGTTGATGCTGGGACTAAGCCTTTGTGGCAAAATGAATTTGGGAATAATCCTGCAGGTTTGAAGTGACCTAGCCATGACCAGAGGTAAAGATTTGATGAAAAGGCAAAGTGGAGCTATTTATCAGGGAAGCAAAGTGAAGCCATCATCATGGCCCTTTTCACCCCCTTGTCCAAACCAAAACAGCTTCAGCAGCTTCAGCAGCTTCCGCAGTGGCCACGTTAGGCTCAATAGATAAGTTTTATGTGAGGTGGAACCTGGGCAGCTGTAAAGTTGTTCCTGAGCTGTGCATGCCCAATAAAAAGAGAAATTTTAAGAGAGACTCTGGACAGCCAACCTTGGAAATTAAATATTCTTCTCCATGTTAGCTCTTGGGTTAAGTTTCCTGAATGGATTTAACTTTGGGTAGCCTACGGATCTCAATTCTCTAGTGCTTAGGTACCCGTCTCCCTAACCTTACAGAAATTTCCGTTGTGTACAGTTTCAGACTCTTCTTATCCCTTTCCTTCTACAGAAATGTCCTGCCTCATGGAGGCCTTGGAGGATAAGCGAGTGAGGTTACAACCTGAGTGCAAAAAACGCCTTAATGACCGGATTGAAATGTGGAGTTATGCAGCGAAGGTAATGACCAAGAGAATCTCCTGAAGTGGCCATCTCTTCTATCAGTTTCCTAGTCTCTGCGAGATACTTCACTGGTCTCCTTGTCCTTGTTGTGAGACTGGCAGTAAGTGTATTTGAAAAATCTATCAGTGCACCTGTCAGACTCCTTGGCTGTCTGTGAGCCTGGAGCCATCATCTCCCTTTGCATTGAGTTGTGTCTGCAAGGCTTTGCCAAGGCCACTACTTTGTGCCCTCAGTTGCCCATAGTCAACCACTGACAAGTGAGTCACCCAAAGGAAGCATGTGACTTAAGCCAGCCATGCAAAAGAGAAACCAGAAAACATGCCCATGGGAAAAGAACGATATCCAGCCCTTTCTGTCTTAAAGCTTGTTTTTCTAACTTTACAGTCTTTGGGAGAAGAATATATATGTGAGACTAGCCCCCAGCTAGCCTGGAATGTGGAGAATAATAGGATACTGGGAGACTTCAGGACACTAGTGAATGTTTAAGATACCCAGGCAGACTTGGGCTAGAGGAAATTTTTCCTACAAAAATTCAGCCTCAGAAGAAGAATGAGAGTTTTTCTCGTGTATACATTGGTTTGTAATTTACAAAACACTTTGATGGATATATTACCTCATTTGAATGTAGAAATCCTGCAAGGTAAGTTAAATGATCATTTCCTCACTTTATGGTGGAGGAAACTTTGACTTTGGAGATTATGATTTGCTCAAGATCCGTCGGTAAAAAAGTCAGGTTTCTAGTACCATCCTCTTTGTATCACCCCACACTAGGATAGACATTCGCAGTTACCTTAGATCAAGAGAGTGACCATGAGAACTCCCCTCCTTCTTGCCCAATTCCTCCTGTCACCCATTTGCTTAAAACTCAAGGGTAACAGGCAAGTGGGAAAAACCACAGAAAGTCTTCATACCTAGGTGTAAGCGAAATGAGAGGAAGAGATGACAGCTGACAACACAGCAAGCACACCCGTCACCCCTTCTCTCACGGGAGCAAAGTCATCTTTGAAGCCCTTGGTCAGATGAGGGAGCAGTGACACTAAATTAGTCTCTTCTTTCTTCACTGGTTTCCACTTTTGAGCCACTAAGCATTGCTTCAGAGTGCCTCCACTGCTTATATTGTGTTGGCAAATGTTTGTGCTCAAATTGCCTTAATCTGGAGCCTTCCTGCTTTGTTCTGTGTACCTGGGATGACCGTAGAAGCAGCCCAGACCTCTCTGGGCCAGACTCCTCTGAGGCGTCAGACTAAGGTGAGACTCAAAAGGACAGGTTCCTTTGCACCTGGTGAACCATTCGATCCTGATCCTGCCGTAGGAGGCGAGCGTAGAGGGCTGTTGGAGAAAGCAGGGAGAGAAACTGAGGATGAAAACTGTTAGACTACCAGTGTCCACAGCTGGGGGAATGGTTAGGTGGGTTCAGTCGGTATACGTCATGTTTGCACATTGGTTTTGATGGGGGGATGCGTATGACATAATGGTGAGTGAAAATAAGGCAAGATGTAGAATTAGCCCCCAGTACCATCTCAGCTTTTCTCTTTGTTTTTAAAAAGGCAGCAAACATGATGAAGAAAATAAATCAGAATACCTAAAAACCTGTGACCTTGTGTAAGTCACTTAGCCGCCTCCCCACCCTCAGGCTTCTGGGTCATCTGTAATGTGGGAGTAATAAAATCTATTCGTAAGGATTGGCACCAGGACTAAATGATTGAAAACACATCTAGCCCTTTCCCAGGGCCCAACACGTCGTCGAGTCCTCAGTGTGAGGGCTGTTACTATGTTGGCTACGATGAACTGTATGAGACTCCACCTCTTTGTATTTGTCTGTATCTTCTAATTTTCTGTAGTAGATAGGTCCAGTAGTATGATCAGGAAGAAGACTTTGAGTTCTCTGTTTGACTTTTCTTGTCCAAGCCCTCTCTCCCCGAAAGAAATGACATAAATTAACTAGGAATCAAGGGGAGCAAGTTAGAGCCAGCAGAGCCCCTGCCTAGATCTCTCAGAAGATGATGCTGCCATGTGTCATTCCAGGTAGCCCCAGCGGATGGCTTCTCTGACCTCGCCATGCAAGTGATGACATCTCCGTCAAAGAACTACATTCTCTCTGTGATCAGCGGGAGCATCTGTATATTGTTCCTGATTGGCCTGATGTGTGGACGTATCACCAAGCGAGTGACACGAGAGCTCAAGGACAGGTAGAGCCACCTTGACCACCAAAGGAACTACCTGTCCAGTGCCCAGTCTGTACAGCCCTCCTGTATAGTGTACCCACTCACCTCGTTCTTCTAAGAGGTGACACCAACACTCATGTTAGAGCAGCAGCAGGTATCCACTGCGTTGTCCCATCTCAGACTTCGCCCCTGTCCATGGTGTCCTCCTCCTCCTCGACCATTTGTGCAGCATCAGCAGCTGGCCACTTTGGTTATTGCCTTTGTTGGCAAACTTGGATTTACCTGCCCGTAGACAAGTCTCTCTCATACCAATGGAATTACCAATACTTCCAGAACCAACTCACCTGACCTGCAACTCAAATGATTTTTTTTAAAAAAAAAAACACCAAAAAAAAAAAAAGGAATTTTTAAAGAAAGAAAAAAATGTATATAGTAACACATCTCCTCCAGGCTTGCTTTGGGCGATGGGGTTATGTCTTCGTGACTGTGTAAAGTGAAGGCAGGACTTTAGAGGGAAACGCACCACCCAATACTCTGTAGCTGGGGTGTCTTGCTCATTTCTCAAAAGCACCTTTGGGCCACGTCAGGGCCACGGACTTCACCAAGTAGTGGGAAACCTTTAACTAGCCTGCTTTGGGTCTTGTTTTCTTCTGCTGGAACAGTGATGCCTTCCAGTTCCCACCCTAACAGAATCACTGCTGGTCAAGACTCCAAGGCCGTGATCTCCTCACCTCGGTGACGTGAAGCATGTGCTTCCCTAGGCAAGGGCATGTGGGTTGGGGAAGGGATCAGAAGTGGGTGAAGCTGGTCAGTCCACTGATCTGCGCTGAGAGGCTGGACCCTGAGTCCAGGCAGCAGGATCCCGGTAATCTCCTTCCTCCAGGCTAGTGCAGGACTCAGTCACATCTAGACTGACTCTGCTGGAGTAGCAGTTACCCCAGAAACCCTCCACTTCACAGGAGGCGGGAACTGTGGGGCAAGGGGGCTCAGGGCAGGAAGGAGAGCGGGGGATTGATTCACTTTGCTTTATTTTCCAGGCAACAATGCAGGTCAGAGACAATGGCTTATAAAGATTTAGCGTGGCACAGGGTGTGACTGGCAGTCTAACCTGACCTTTCTGCAGGCTCAAGGCCAGCTTCCCAGACAAGCTCCTTTATGCCTCTACGTGGAGAGGGTGTGGAAAGTTATTACATTCAAAGATGGAGGCTTTTCTCCATTTTTTTTTCCTTTCTGTCCATTTGCTGCATACACCCACTGTAGTAGGCATCGGCTACATGTTGTACTTTGATGATTCAACAGTCTTTCCAGAATCTGAGCTCTATGGAAGCAGCATTCCTGGCCGTCCTCCCTCATCCCTGCGTGTGGAGATGACAGGTTTGGAGTATAAAGAGGGAGGAGTGCAGGCATCATGGTTCAACCTGGCACAGCTTGGCTTGAGTTTAGGGCTGGAGTCACAGTGGCTGCACAAGAGGGCGGCATGTACAGTAGGAGATATATTTATATAATATATATTTTATTAACCTGATAGACGTCCACAAGTATTATAAATCATGTGCCTAAAACTGTCCACATAGACCATGGCACCCTTCCTTGCCCTGCCCCTCCTTTGCCACTGTCCACATGTGCTGTGGGACCTGCACAACATTTGTCTTCCCTGAAATGTGCTCAATACAAAGTGGGTCAATTTGTGGATCAGTTGATCCAAATTACTCCGTGTCTAACCTGACTGACATATATTTGAATACTGTGGTTTTCTTCTTTTTCTTTCTTTTTTCTTTTTGCTATCCTTCCTGGAGGCAGTAGGTTCCAGAAGCCAGCTGTATATCCCCCCTACCTAGGGTACTACAAGTCTCCAAGGGGAGCTGCTAAGCTGCTTGGTCCTCTCAGTCCTGCTTTTAGGGTCTTCCTGATTCTCAGCAACTGCCCTGGGATTCTTCAGTCTCAAAACTTGAAACTCTTGGCATCCGAGCAGCACCCCCTCCTGCCACCACTGTCGGGCTGAATTGAGCTGGGGCAGGTAGTCCACCTCCAGGGTTCCCACCTGGGTGGCGGGGGCTTGGGATTGAGAACGGGGGATGTCATCTAAATGCAGGTCTCCACTGACGTGTCTGGTGTGATTTACAGGTTAGGATAAATGTTCACCATGTGATGAGAATGGGGTACCATTCTCCATCTCTGCAGTCTCCCTCCCAATACATGTAAAACATCTCCATGGTTTACGTGTTAGTCTTGGTCTTTCTGTTCTTTTTGAACTGAGAGACCATCTCATTAGTTGTCTGCAGCAGATCTGGAAGTTTGAAAAGGAGTTTGATTCTTGAAACATTTGTCACCTTTAGAAATGGTCAGAATAGAAGGGATGACTGCTGGTGTTTTCAATTACTGGTTGCTAGGAAGCATTTCACCATCTTACTTGGAATAGTTTCATGTGACTGGTTCTTGAGGGTCCCAGGTGGTGTTCCTGAGCAGTTTTCTACATCCAGGGGGCCCAGCACCATCTGAACTTGCAGCCCAACTGTACCTATTCTGTACCCCATTTGATATAACAAAACCGCTTCTGGGGCACCTCTGAGTACTGGCCTCATAGGTCAGTCATGGGTAAATCAACTAGTCAAGAACTCGTCAAGAAGAGGAAACCATGGCCCTAGATGAGGGACTGATGATGGACCTTGGTCTTTATCTCTTCTCCTGATGTCTAGCCCATGAACAATAACCTAAGCAGCAGAGCAGGTAGATTTTTTTTGCCAAGGCTCTAGGCACTTGCTGAAAATTAACAGTAGCCAGGTAACTCATCTGTCCTTGTCAGCTCACTGCAGTGTCTCAGGGACTCATACTTACTTAGTGTGCTCCACCACATTCCAGAGGCACGAGGAGATCAGTCTCCTGGGCTGGAGGCCCTGTGATACAGGAAATCAAAAATCTAGAGAAAACATCAAGAACGAGACCAACTGCTCCCTCTAACAGAGCTACCAACAGACGGGTAGCTCTGGGAGTGAGACCTGTATCCTGGTGCATCCCTGGCCTCCCTCTGCTATTGTTGGTGCCCCAAGAGAAGCCTGCTAGCACGATGTGCCCATATGGGAGCCATAGCAAAAGCTGGAGTTCAGTCCAGCCGGAAAACCCTCCTTCTCTGGGTTCCCTAGAGACCTTCTAGCTTCCCCTCCCAGACCCGCTGTGGATCCGGTAGCTTGTTCTGAGCCAGTGCATCCTCAGAAGCAGGGGAATTCCAGTATTTAGTGAGCAAGTGTTGACCTGAGTTTGTGGCAGGCCTTTGGCTTTCTCACATCCTGCACTGACTCTCCTTGGGGACAGTGAAGAGCTCTGCCAGTGGGGAGGGAGGGAGATTCTGCTTTCCTAGAAGAGGCAACAAAATTACTACCAGATTTCATTTCTTCCCATTTCCTGAGGCCATGTAATAGAAGAATCCAGTGGTAAAGAGGTCTGTAGCATCCATTTACATTTTATCAGATAAAGTGGAAAGGGAGTTGTATGCTGACTTCCCTCTACCTTCCCCAAGAGAAGATTTACTCTCATATGCAAGCGTGACTTCTGGAAGTGGCTCCCATCCTCCCCACCTCCAGGCTGTAGTACTGCGTCTAGCCCGGAGAGCCCCACTGTAGTGAGACGTCCAGGGAGGGGCGGGCTGCTTCACACGGCTTCCTTTCTTAGCGAGTCTTAAGTTCCCCTGAAACGGCCTTCACTCTCCGTTTCTTCCCCTCCCCGACCAAAGAATAAACATTCTCCACATATAACTTATTCTAAGTAAGCAGATGTGGAGAAGGAAGCTGAAATAGGGACCCTGGAAGCCAGCCAATCCAGTCTGACACATTCAACCTAAATTTTGGCCATAGAACAAAAAATATGTCTTTTAGAATCATGTGCATTTTGGTATGTTTACTTGCATTTCAGATTCTTATGAATTTGAAAAACCTCAAAGATCCCTTTTATTTCTCACCATTTGGACAGCTCCTAAGTAGTTTTATAAAGTGAGCATCTAGTGCCCTGAGTTTCTTCTGGGCCTTCAGGGACACTTCTAATTCACCTCTTCGCTACTGATCTTTGGTTCCCAAAGGCCTGGGGCCAGAGCTGATCTTCTGGCTTGCCTCTCTCTCTCTCATTTGTCTTTGGTTGGCAGTCTCTCTAACTCTACTCCTCTTGGTCCTCCTCCTCTCCACTAGGACCAGGATCACAAGTTAGGGTAGTCAAGTTTGAAGTCGAATTCCCCTTCCTGTCCAGACCTCAGACAACAGATCAGTTATTAGCAAACCCAGACTGACTTGTCAGAGTGACAGGCTTCCCCAGACCATCTGGTGAGATCACTGTGGAGACCCAGGGATTGTCTGTCATCTGGAGCACAAAGGTGGGACTGTCTGCCTGGGCTAGTGGTCACAGGGTCCTGATGGTGGTTTCCTCTCCTTCCCCCTTCCCCAGATCTTCACCACACACAGGTAGGGATGCTGGGATACATGCAGTGGAGAAATCTCCCTGGGCAAGGAGAAAATTCAGACAGTGCCTCTATATTCTGTTTTTGCCTTCCCCCCAACATAGAATGGACACCTGGACCCCAGAGCCCCACAGGCCCTATGCCAGACATGCTAGGGTGGTTCGAACAGGTCCCCTGGTCAGACTGCAGTGCACTGATGGAGTGGCCGACAGGAGAGCTGGCAGCTGGAGGCATCCTGAGCGGCTTCTCCCAGCACAGTGTTCCCAAGTCAGTCCAAGCAGGAAAACAGACTGTACAGCAAATGCTGTGTGAAATCTTAGGCCTTTAACTTTTTATTTTTAAGAAAGAAAGAAAAATTAACAAGCTTCTTTTGTAAATGGTTTTCCTTTCTATGTATAAAATCCTGGCAGTTCCTTGTTTTTACATGTTCATGCTGTGTAATTTTGAGATGTTACTGAGAATCTGAACATAATGTGCATTTTTTTCTGTACAGATGAAATGGGAGAATTTAATAAAGAGTTTGCAGGTTTTTACTTGTTAAATCTTCTGTGGTGACTGGGAGGATGCTGCACCCACCCACTCTGCTAGTGGAAGTTTGTGGAGCTGGAGCACTGATGCTCACAAAACTTACTGTGAGGTTTCTATCGTTCCTGGCTGATTAGGGCAGACAGACTGGGATCATAGGACTTTCAGAAGAGAGCTGGAATCAGATCTGGGGTTTACTCTCAGGCTGCTGTGTCCAAAATTACTCATTCTACTGATGGGTTTAAGCTATGTCATGAGGCTCCTTCCTGGGGAGAGCACATACGCAGAACCTCTTCTTGGATGGCACCTGCTCTCTAGTGGCCACCTTTCCATTCAGGCCCAGAACTAGGCCGCATTTATTTTCTGTGCCCTGCCATGTCCCCTTTTAATCAGTCCTCGTCTCCACATTCCAACAGCCCAGTCCTGGGGTCAGTGACCTCTGTGACACCCTTCCTGAGCCTTCTACCTCCTCCACTTTCAGCAAAGGTAATTTGCATCTGGGTGTTAAAAAGTAATAGTTTAAGGGACCAGCCCGGTGGCACAGCAGTTAAGTCCACGTGCTCACGTGCTCCGCTTTGGCGGCCCAGGGTTTGCCAGTCCGGATCCCAGGCGCAGACCTCCACCCCACTTATCAAACCATGCTGTGGCAGGTGTCCCACATATAAAGTAGAGGAAGATGGGTACAGATGTTAGCTCAGGGCCAATCTTCCTCAAAAAAAAAAATAATAATAATAATAGCTTAAGGAATTTGCATGGTAGCAAGGATTTCTTGAAGTGGTGATGTCCATATTAGGATTTGAGTAATGGGATGTTCAGAGAGAAAGGACGAGGTAACCTGGGACCCAGGGTTTCTTCTCAGAACTCCTCAAATCCATTTTCGGCAACAGTCATTTAGGAGATGATGCACCTGAGAGTAGAGTGGAGACTGGGAGAAGGTGAAGAGTCGCAGAAAGGAGGAAGAGCGTCTGGGGACCTTTTATGTCCCTCCTACAAATATTCCTCTGTCTAGGGAGCTCTGGGCAGCTGTCAGCCCTGAATGAGAGGCATCTGGGACCAGACACTCTTGAGTGTCCTGGAGAGGCTGCCCTGCTTTGCTGTAAATGTGGGAAATGAGGCGCTGGGTTCAGGCTCCTCATCTGTGGTATCCCCACAAGGCGAAGTGGCTCACCCAGCCCAGCTGCTCTCGGCCGCTCGAGGGCACGCCGCAGCAGTGACGGGAGCGTGCTGCCCAGCTGAAGCCTCAGCCGGCTCTGAAGGAATCGCCCCACCCCCAGATTTTGTGTGTGAAGATATTTCTGGGTAAGATCTTTGGCCAACTTCAATCCTCAGAGACATCGGACATTTGTTCTTAAAAGGGGCTAAGAATGAAAAGGTTTTAGACAAAAAGGGGAGAACCTTAGACCATCCAACTCTCTCACTTGGATGAAGGAGTGAGCTGCAGAGCCGGGGAGGGACCTTGCTTTCACAGACAGCTGATTAGCAGCAAAACGAGAATGTCTGCCCCTGCCATATGCTTTTTCGTCTGACGAGCCAGATTGGCTTTGGGACCCGTATGACCAAACTAAAACCCCAGCCCCCATCAGACTCCGGGCGGGGGCGGCTGACCTGACTCTGGCATCTGCAGACCCCCGGCAGGCCTCCCTTAGGAGCTATTGGTCCGGGTCCTGAGGTCCCACCTCGCTTTCCCAAAACAGCCCACAGCACAGTACTGTCTTCTTAAAGTCCCTGTATTTGTGGAGAAAGCTGGACAGTCTGCGAGGGAAAAGAAGAAGCCAAGGGATAATGAAAGGCAGCAGACTAGGAGGAAGCTGCTTGGAGCAAGGAGGGAGAGGCTGGGGCACGGGCAGCTTCTTGAGGACGTTGAAGCTGCTGGGGCTTGGCCCCTCACGCCCTATGGCCCTGGCAGGAGTATGCCTTCCACCCGCCTGCATCCTGGAACCAGGGGCTGGTCCTTGACCCTTTCAGGTGAGGGGCTCCGTAGGGTGGGCCCAACAGCAGCAGCGAGGACGAGGCCGTAGACCAGCGCTGCACCCAGCAGCCCCGGGTAACAGTAGGTGATGGCAGTGATGGTCTGTTCCACCTCCACTGCGGAGGAAACAGGCCCAGAATGAAAGGTGAGCCCAGCCAGCCCTCTGACATTGCGTCTTCATGGTCTCCTCCCTGCCACTGTCTCCTTCCAAAGAGCTTTCTCCGGCTCACTTTCTCCTCCTAGAGGTTGTATTACTCCCCATTTATAGATGGGAAAGTTAGATTGAAGGTCTCTAAAGGCAGAGACGGTTTGGACTGGGTGTAGTAGGTGGGTGGGTGGATCTAAGGCCAAGAGAAGGTAAAAGACTCACCTGAGGGGCCACAGAGTTGGGGGCGAACCAGGACTGGACCCAGGTGCTCTTGCTGGCTCTGCGCACTTCCCCAGCCGTAAGCTCAGGGCTCGGCTCTGACTGCATCGTCCACAGGAGCTCCCAGGTCCTCCGTGGGGAGGGCGCCTCCGCTCTCTGAGCTCCTGAATGTATTCTGTTCCTGCCCTTCAGCAGACCTTTAGCGCAGTCTTCCTTGCATTCTAAACATTGCTTCAGCGTCTGACCTAGCTTTCGAGACTCCCTAATGTCCAGACCGTGTTCCAGTCATCCCTCTGCCCTGGCAAATACTTAGTACTCCATAAATATTTGTTGAAAGGGTCAGTTTGACAGTGAAAAGTCATGGCTTTACCACCTAGGGGAGCCCAGGTCAGTCTTGTGGAGGTCTTTACCAAGGAGGATGTCTTCGCTGAGTCTGATTCCAGTTTTACAGTTCCAGCCTTTTCTTGCACCCTGGAACAGAGCAGATCCCTTCAAATAGCTTCCCTCTGCTGTATCCCCCAAAGGAAAGAAACAGGCATTCACCACCAGAGAACGCAGAAGACAGGAGTGACTGAGTGGATTTGAGGACCTCATGGGTGGCTGGTCCCACAACATCACTGCCCAGGCTCCAGTGCCCAAGTCCAGGTTTACCTGGAGGCAGGGGCAGAGCCAGGCGTGCTTTGCCACACACAGTAGTGCCCATCTTGACCTTCTGGGTAGCCAGGGGGTAATCTGGGTGTCTAGCTTCCGGGTGGTTGCATCAGGAAGACTGGAGCACAACTCCTGGGTTCGCTATACTTGCCTTGACCCCAGGGCAGGAGCAACACACTTCAGAAGCTCCACTCTGTTGCAGGCCTTGGCAGGTCACAGACATCCCTGCCATCTCCTGAGGCAGCTGCAGCCAGCTGACTGGGATCCCCAGCTCCCCCAGTGAAGTCCTCCTCCTCCTGGTGTTGGCCTCTCAGGACCCAGGAGACCCTCAGAGGGTCAGGGTGGTGTCCTAGGGCCACACAAAGTGCATGGAAGTGAGGGCCAGAGGCTGGGATGAACAGGCTCAGCTGGAGTGGCCAGAGAGCCAGGGATTGCATCTCGGCTCTGGAGAATGAAGGGGAGAAGGAAGTCACGCAACACCACCAGCCTCTCTCAAACCCGTAGTCCTACTGCATCCCCTTTCTTCCCAGGCCCTCCGGAGACTCCTCCTTCCTCCATGGCCTTCCCTTGCCTTTCCCAGAATCTACTCTTCCCCACAGTTAGCCTTCTAGCCTGTTTAGCAGAATGTGATCTCTGAGCTTGTCTCTGCCACGTGTACCTTCCCTCCTCTGGGCCTCCAGTATCCTTCCTACAGAGCAAGGGAAGGAAATGGATTTAATCTTGTTGATTAGGCTTCCCCTCCTGGACCTTAAAGGTGTGGTCTAAGGTGTTCGTGTCCATCCTCAAACGCTTCTGGTCAGTCTTCTCATCAAGAAGCCTGAGTGTCTTCTCTGCTGACTGTCCACTCTTCTGAGCGTTCTCTTATTCCCCTCATCGCTACCAACCAAGGCTTCCTCCAAAGGGGATCCATCTTCTACACCTTTCTTCCCAAGCCAACGGCCACATGCTCCATTGCAGTCCTACACACCAGAGGCCCCAGGGCCCTGCACCCTAGGACTGACCCTGACAGAGCAGATGGGTACCCTCTCCAAAGACATACTGGCCTGAAAAACCACATGGCACAGTATTAGGTGCCCTTGTCAGCAGGGCTGGCATTGCCCATGGTAAAGCATGCAGCATTCTGGGCCAAGTCCACCTCTGCCAGGAAGCAAGGATTCACACCCCCTTCTCCCTGACTCAGCAAGGAGCTGGGGCCACTCCACATCAGCTGCTGGTACCAAGATGCGACACAGGCCCTGAGCGGACTGGCCCGCACCACACACCAGCTCTCTGGATTGCTTTGTCCACTCACCACAGAAGGCTGCGGCTGGAACAGCGGGCTGGAAGACCTCTGAGGCACTTGAGGAAGCAGAGAGGATAATGACCACTCAGAATAACTCCATGGTCATTTATTAGGCACTCACTGAACTATCAGCTCAGATTAGTGCAAGATCTTTCTAGAGGGCCATTTAGAAATACCTATGAAAATTGTAAATCCTCAGACCCTGTGATCTAGCAATTCTGTTTTCATAAATTTATGCTATGAAAATAATTAAACTCGTATATCAGTACACCTACAAGGATGATTATTATAATAATCTTTATAATAATTAAAAACTGAACAACTATTATTAGAGGTGAGATTAAATTTTAAAATGAGACACCCATGTGATGCAATACTATGCAGCCCCCAAAAGGGAAAATGTAGAATTCCACTTCTGGGTAGGATGGAGTTTACAGCTGAATAATGCTCCCAGTGAGAATAAGTAGAAAAGCCAGCAAAACAGGTGATTTTTGTGGTTTAAGAGTTGCAGAAGCAACAGTGACCAGACGGGTTAAGATTGTGCAGAGGGAGAACCATGGAGAGGTGAGCTGACAATCTCTTGCCACTTGCATTTGCCGATTCTGGCAAGAGGCTGAGGACCCAGGTTCTCCCCAGGCCAAAGAAGGTGGGAGAAGGAGAAATTAGCAGGGTTTTTTATAGTTTCATGGGCTGGAGTGACAAAATTGAAGGCTTGAGGGGTCTCAAATATATATTTGGTTTCATGCCA